CAATAGCATTATGTATTGGGCACCCTGTACACGAGTAAACTCATTTATTATAAAGCTATTACATACTTTAATAACAAAAAAAACTAGTACAATTGGTATATGTATATAATGTACATATACAGGGTGACTGGTGAATTACCATCAATATTTAAGGAGCATACTCGGTACATGATTCTCATTCGAATTATGTAAAAAAATAGGTACTTAATTTTTGACCAAATTTCCGTATAAATAAATAAAGTGTGGACTCGTTCCAAGTGTTCCAAGTGTGGACGCGTGCGGCGGCGTGCTGATACATCAACACGCCGCCGCGCGCGTATGTTTGTGTGTACCTAATACCTAATCTGTAGGGTGTTCATACGATGCGTAATTAATTACACAACTTTTGGTTAACTTTACTTAGAAGTTTATTAATATTTATGTTATATTAATTTTTATTTTGTCATATATGATCGTCAAATATCACGTCCTCAAATATTGATAGTAATTCACCAGTCACCCTGTATATTTTAAATATTTCGCACTTACCCAATCTCAGTACATACAAAATTTTGTTACTTCAAATGCTAGTCTTACATATACATATAATAGGTTGGCAACTAAGTCATGACGGATTACGGATTCAGTTTTTTGATCATAAAAACCAGAAGTTTTATGAACGTGAAATGAAGCTGCTTGAAAGATGGCGAAAAGTCATTGATATAAATGGACAATACATTACAGAATAAAGATATTTAGGTCCATGACATAATTGTCATTGATTTTCTAATAAAAATCCGCAATTATTTTGTTGCAAACCCAATATATTAAACAAATCGATCCCAGTATTATTTACCGTTAAAACGATAACTTCATGATTTCTCGTAAGTCGTAACGGATATATTAAATCGTTAGTGTTTTTGCTTTCATTCTGACTGTATTGAATTTAACCAAGTAAAACTCAAATAACTCAATAAATAATAAATAATAGATATCATAAGAAATAAATACCTGTATTATTTTTTTTAGAATAAAATTATGTTTTATTTATTAATTTGAATTACTCTAAATTTGTTTCTAGATTAGTTTAATCACGAGAGAGAATAGAAACACAATTATATACAATACAATTATATCGGAAAATTGGTTTCAATTTCATGAAAACCTTAGAAATTACCTAGAGTCAAATTAACAAAAAAATTTACTATATGTTGTGTCATTCTATTATATTTCTTTTCTATATTATATTTGTCATACAATACGAGGTATCGAATTGCTTGTCGGCTTCTATCAAAGCCGAATAAGTAGACGAAATGTGAGCGATTTATAATCATTTCAAGTTGACATATTTTTTACCATCGGGTTGAAATATTTTTTAATCTATACTAATATTATAAAGAGGAAAGGTTTGATTTTTTGTTTGTTAGTCTCGAATCACAAAATAATATCTAAGAATTAAATTTCGTATTTTTTTTATTTGACGCAAAAATTGTGAATATTTGTGTAAATGTCATGTTTAGTGCCCGTGCGAAGCCGCTATATGTATAATAACATACATTACAACATTCACAGGTTTTCTGTAATGTATTTAGCATCAGCATTGCACCCGAGCGAAGCTAGTCAAAATATGAAAATAAATACCTATATTAAGTCGCTAGTAGAAATATAAAAATATCTTATATATAAACTTCTCGTGTCGCGGTGTTAGACAGAGAACTCCTCCGAAACGGCTGGAACGATTTTGAGGAAATTTTGTAAGCATATTGAGTAGATCTGAGAATCGAACAACAACTATTTTTCATACCCCTAAGTCATAAGGGTTGTTCACCCTATTTTTTTTTTATTTCGGACGAATTTTTTTGTTTTTATTTTTTGATAATGTAGCATTAAAAATACATATAACCTAAAAATTTTACTTTTTTTATCACCAACACCTATTTTTTTATATGGCAAAACAATGTTTGCCGGGTCAGCTACTTTCATATAAATACTATATATGACTAAAATTACTTTTGATTGTCTTATATATGTATCAAATTAATTATTATTCAAGCCATAATTTACGTAATTTTAACATTTAAATTGATAGCAATATACACTTTCAATGCAGTAATTAGTCAACTAATTGACACAACCGATTAGATATTTACAACCGGTTTAAGTATAATATATATTTTTATCACCACAATTTATTTTCACAAAATTAATATATTGTTATTTAGTTACAACATACCCAAAAGTGGTTTCACCAAAAAATTTCAAACCTCAATGATATTGCCTGAATAATTTATGATTATGCTGAAATTATAAGTTTTTTGCCGATTTCTTCCATCATAGATGAAATTAATAGCACTATCTAGTTAAAATAAATAAAAATAAAAACAAATGATGGTGATTAAATGAATGCATTGGTGCATTAAAATTTATTATTGTCCAGTTATTTGGAGTAATTGTAGTTGCCGACAGTTTAAAATGAAGTAACAGTAGACAAGTAAATGGTGCATAACTGTGGTACAGAATTAAAGACTTCCATAAATATAATAAAATTAGTAGTGCTAAATTTATAAGTAACAAATATTCTTAAACCTTTTTTTTAATTTGGTACTGATTAAAAATAAAATTGAGAAATAAAAACTTTTTTTTTATCAAACTCAATTTCATAATTATTCATCTGTATGTAATGAAAGATTTCCATAAATATAATAAAATTAGTAGTGTTATATTATACATAACAAATATTCTAAAACCTTTCTTTTTTATTTTAAACAGATTTTAAAAAAATGAGAAATATAAACAGTTTTTTGATCTGACTTCAATTTATAATTATTTATCTGTATGTATATGTATGAAGGAAATAAATATTTAAATTTAATTTTAAAATTTACAAAGTCATCTCATTTGTTTATAATTTTATGTTATTTAAACATATATTTATATATCCACATTTTTTTACCAATCTATCAATATGTTTTAGATCTTCTTGTGATAATTACAATAATATTTGACCATACTTATGACAATTAGAAAAAATAGGGAATAATAAAAAAATAAAAAGAATGACTGAATTTGGAAGATATGAATTTATAAATAAATGGAAAAAATGGAAGAAAGTCGTTGGTTAGATAAAATTACTAATAGTATTAAATCATTTATACTTGTAAAGATAATATTTAAAAAAACTTATAGTTTTATAAATCCTCAAAATATTACTACAAAAAAAAAGTTGAAATAAATTACGAAAGAATACAGTTTTTTTTTGGAATAAGTAAGTGGCAAATGTTTTTTATTATTTAAGTTAGAAGATAGTGCATTTGCATAGTGTAATACCATTTTCTAGGCAAAAAAATTAAATATATATTTTGATGAATAATCAAATATTAATACAGAATAATTTGCTTATATTTATAAACAGAAGACTTTATTTTCTTAATTTTTGCTTAATAATTCTTAGCTTTATAAAATTATTATTTCAAGAAAACTTTGAAACCGGATTTGAAAGAAATAATTACAACAATTTTAATTAGTAAACCGATTAAAAACTACGTTCGAATCCAACGATTTCAAATTGCGGTAAGAAAATGTGGGACACAGCCGATTGTAGATTACTGACTGTAACGAATATAAAAACTATAAACCTACCTTCATATCCGTAACGATTTGTTGGTAGAGATTCCACAATGGGGAGCAATCTTTCTCTGTTGTTCCCTCCATTTTTAAAATAAGCACGTATGAGACACAAAAACACCGATTCAAACACAAATCACATCACTCGATGCCCTATATGCGCCATAACCATGAAACTGTTGCATTTTCGATTAATTAATATATAATAGATTCATTAAACGCTACCTACATTTCACTTTTCATATATAAAAATTAATTTTATAAACACTGAAAGCAACAAATCAATATTTATAAACATGAATATCCTCCATTTATACTAGATGAGAAACGACAAGACAATGTTTAGGTAAATTTTCACTGCTTATATAAACGATGCTATGCTTACAGTTCGGTATCAAATATTTTGATTATTTATTCGTTTAAATATAATAAAAAAAATATGGATTTAATACAAGAAAAACGTTATATTATAATAAAACACTTCGATATCACACATCGACACATACAACAAGCCGACAGCCCGAATCGGTTTGTTTGGAATGATCGCGTACTTCGTCTCAGGTCTCTATTCCCCTATCTTCTGAAGCAAAAAGCAGCGTTTCTATTCGTCAGTTTTCCTACAATATAGTTGCCAGATTAAAATAAAGCAATAAGTAATAATAAATACGAAAAGCGTCTTTAAAAATATTTTTTTATTTAATAGAATACTCATTTTTATAAATAAATATTTTTTATAAGCTGTAAAATTATAAATTTTTAATTTATTAACATTATTTTATTTGTATCACTAAATGATCATTTGAAGTTACAATTCACAGTTGATTACCATTTTGTTACCTACTCTAGTTACAATAAAAACAAATTTTTAATAATATTATATTTAGAAATGTATATATGATATCTTCTATACTCTTAGCTTATAATATTATTCCAGAGACTACTGTATTTGCTCTGGTATTCGATCTTGAAATTTATTTCGTAATGTCATAAATAATTCATATCCATTTTTTTATTTTGGTTTAGCAAAAATAAATGTATATAGTTTGTAGGTATAAGGAAGAACAAAAAACTTTTCTATTCTTTGAGTTATTGCCGTTTCCTTATAATTTTCACGAATGTCGTGCTGGAATAAAGTTTTAGTTACAAAAGTTATTTTGAACCTGTCACATTATTTGAAATTTGAATGAAATGACAGTTCACAATTATTTAATATAAATAGTTACTTGCGTACTATACTATATTCCATACGCATTTGACATTATGGTTTTCCCTTTTCCTGTTATTGAATCCGATTTGACATTGAAGTACCAATTTGAAATTGAAATGTTTTACATTATTTTATAAAACAGTATGACTTTGTAGATTGTTGTTGTGCAATTTTGTTTTGTGATATAATTATGTCTAAAATAATTAATAAAGGAGGTTTTAAACCCGGTAGTATACATAGGATAGCGTTAGAAAATTTTGTGTAAGTTACGCGCCATTTCGTTATATACAATTTTATATCAAAATTCTTGCAATTTAATGTTATGTTATTTTACAGAACCTATAAAGAGGTGGAACTTTATCCCGGTAAATCATTGAATTTAATAATTGGTCCTAATGGAACTGGGAAATCGACATTTGTTTGTGCTATAATACTAGGACTCGGCGGAAATCCTGGCGCTATTGGTAGATCTAAAAACGTAAGTACTTATACTGAATATAATTATCGACAAATGTAATTCATTTTATATCAATGTAGTTATCAGTACTTTAATGAATAGCTAACAATTCTAGACACATATTTTATACACTATAGATTTTATTCTAAGTAGGGTGAATCATGAATCCCCTACTCAGTTTCTCGTTTAGTCTACAAAACATAATTTTATAACTACGATATTTCGTAATACTCAGATATCTTTTAATTTAATTAGGTGCATTTTATATGATTTTATTGTAAAGATTAATGAGTTTTTATTGAAAAAACTGTAATTAATGGTGATATTATAATTTTTTTATGAAACCTCAAGCAGTAATATTATATTTCCTAATATTTTTAATTGAAATGTATCAACTTTCAAAATACTCTTTCTTCTAAACCTTCATTCCATCATCAATAACGGGAAAACAATTAACCATTTTAAAAATAATTTTAGTTTTTTATCCAAAACTATGTTTGTTATTTAACAGTAGGAGATAAAACATTTAAGAAAGCCAATATTCATAGTATCTTAAATGTCCTTGAAATTGTAATTTTTCTCAGAATTTCTTAATACTAATAATACATATTATAAATGTTACAGTTGACAGATTTTGTTAGGGATGGCTGCGATAGTGGGTTTATAGAAATTGAGTTATATAATAAACCCAATGAGAGAAATATTATAATAAAGAGGATATTGGATAAAAGGAAAAATTCCTCAATATGGAGTTTGGATTACAAAACTGTGCCAGAGAAAAGAATACAGGAAATTGTTAAATCATTTAATATACAGGTTTGTATACTCATTTAATTTAACTATATATATTCCCAAAGAGGGTTGATGTCAGGTAGGTGGCCGGTCGTAAAAATGATTAGTCAAAACTATATACAACTTGTAAGGTAGACCCTGGCTAAAGCTGAGAAATTGGCAGGAAGAAGAAGAAGATATATAATTATAAAGTTTGAAATTATTGTATTGTATCTAAGAATAAATTAGATTTTAGCTAAATAAATAACATATATTTATATTATATGTCTAGATAAGTGTATTTATGTGAGTTGGAAAATAAAATTTTCTCTCATTACTTAAGATTATGTAATATTTTTATTGTTTTTTAGATACTAAAACAAGTAACATGTTTATAATAATTTCTATCATTTCAAGAATGTTCTTTGATATAATATAATTAATTTGTGATCTCATAAAGTTTGTTTTTTTATCGCTCATGATAACAGATTTGTTTATGTTCTAACAATTATATTCATTATGTGTCACTGATTGGTCATTATTTTGACCTTATTATTTGCTAATAATGTCTTTTATTTAGTCATAATACAAATATAGGAATCTTTTCTGATTCACATACTGTATTTTATATTATGTATTATTTTAAAAACATACATATATATGTACAGGGTGACTGGTGAATTACTATCAATATTTAAGGAGCATACTCAGTACATGATTCTCATTCGAATTATGTAAAAAAAATAGGTACTTAATTTTTGACCAAATTTCCGTATAAATAAATAAAGTGTTGACACGTTCCAAGTGTTCCAAGTATGGACGCGTGCGGCGGCGTGCTGATACAACAAGACGCCGCCGCGCGCGAGTGTGTGTGTGTGTGTATACCTAATCTGTAGGGTGTTCATACGATGCGTAATTAATTACATAACTTTTGGTTAACTTTACTTAGAAGTTTATTAATATTTATGTTATATTAATTTTTATTTTGTCATATATGATCGTCAAATATCACGTCCTCAAATAGCGATAGTAATTCACCAGTCACCCTGTATATATAATCCACATTCAGCAAATGTATTTTGAATTTTTTTCTGATTTTTTTTAAATGAAAATTTAGTACATGAAATCCGTCATAGAAAATCTGACTTTGTGATATACATGTTACATTATCTTTTTATTTTCAATTAAATTTTGTAAGTTTTTCATATATTCTTCATACATTTTTATGAATTTTCTCTACACATTCAGGTTGAAAATCTCTGTCAGTTGCTACCACAGGATAAAGTCCATGATTTCTCCAAGTTGAATCCCAAACAACTGTTGCATAGTACATTGACAGCTATCGGGGACTTTGACAGTATTAAAGATTGGGACCAATTGATCAAACTGCAAGATGATCAGAAAGAATTGACTTCGACACTCAAAAATGGCCTAACTAAATTAGAAGAGGAAAAGAGAAAAAATCATGGGTATGTATAATATATTATTATATAAAGGTTATTTATATATGTCTATATATATATATATTTATATATGTCTATATATATATATCGGGATGTTTTTTTTACATTTAATATACTGAATGGATTTTGATAAAACTAATAATGCAGCATCGTCATATTACCATACAGATATATTTATTACGTCATTCCGTGTATTTTGTTTGTATTTATTATGTGAGACATGATGTCGCTGAAGGTGCATTAAAATATCTATTATATTAATTATTTATTAATTACTCTTTGAAGCAAACTACGATATAGACAGATAAAGTCGCGGGCGGTATATAGTGTTTATAAATTAATATATTTCACAGATTAAAAGAATTGATTGATGCTATGAATCAAAGGAAAGCTATAGAAAAGGAAATTGAGATTTGTCAAAAGAAACTGCTGTGGGCCGAACACAAGGAATTAAATGACGCAGTGATTGAGATTAAGAGACAGCAAGTTAATGCGAAGAGTGTTGTTGAGAAAAATAATAAAACCATTGCACCTATGAAACATGAACTGGATAAAGTTAAAGAAGATATTAGTGTATTGGAGAGAGGGAAACGGACTAGTGTTAGTATTTAATCTTCTTAGTTAGTGTTAGTATTTAATCTATAAAACTAGCTGCGCCTCGCGGTGTTACGGGATTTCCGGGATGTAAAGTAGCCTATGTGTTATTCCTGGACGTCAGCTTCCTGTATACAAGGTTTTATCAAAATTGGTTCAGCCGTTTGAGCGTGAAGAAATAACAAACATTATTTAAAGCAATTTTTTTGTTACTAGAAAGTATCAATATCCAACAAACTATCCCTATTTTGCATACTTTTTATTTTCATTGGACTTCAACTTGATTCAATTTGTTTCATTCAAACAGTATTTTCCTTTTCCCTACAAACTGTTTTTCCTTTAAGGGAGCGTTCAAGTATTACGTAACGCAATTTTGGGGGGGGGGGGGGGGGGGTCTCGTAAAACGTTACGATGCGTTACTGGGGCGGGAGGGGGTGTCTCTTACAAAACGTTACGTAGCATTGTTTCTAAAAAATATATTAATAAAAACCCCCAAACTGGCAACTCTTTTCATTTACATTACATTGTTGACCAGATTGTATTAGTCTGGTCGATATTTTTATTTGTTATTCCAATTTTGCAAACCTCTTAATTGATATTTTACGGGGAATACATAGATTGCATTGTAAGTCTTTTGATGAAATTGATCACTTGAGTGTTACGTAACGTTTTGAGAGGGGGGGGGGGCTACAGAAAAACGTTACTGTGCGTTACGACGGGGTAAGTGGGGGTCAAAAATCTTCGAAAATTGCGTTACGTAATACTTGAACGCTCCCTAAAGATATCGTTTTCTTTTATATCTCTGTTTGTTTATAAGACTTCTTCTATTGTAAACCATTCTTTAGTATCTATCATCAGGTCATTATCTATCATTACATCATCAGAATCATCCAGATCTGTTAACTTCATTATACTAGTGCTGTCCGCATACTATTCTCGTTAGCAGATATACAAAAACAATTCTTATATATGATTTTCGTCACCAGTTTTAATTCTTCTCCTACGGATGTATTTTTAAATTGCCTTTAAATGCGTAAAATTTACTCGTATAGAATACGAAATTATTATGTTTACTTTTTTTGCATTAAATACAGTAAATATTTATATTTTGGGCCCTAATCTTGAAAAACATAAAAGTTTGTCAAGTCAGACATATGAAATTTGTTTTTTTAAACTCGCACGATATTTGGTAAACCTTTGCTATAATTTTGGAGTGATAAAGCCTAGCTGTGGTCAAGTTACTACAGCTCGAACATGGGCTGACTTAAATGGAAGTACCACCCTCTCACAGAAGTTCGGCGTGAAGTAGTCTTTAATGACTACGTTTCGTCCGATGAGTGAGAGAGTCGGTTGCGCCTTCCCTTTCCCACTTTTTCCTCCCCTATTCCCTAATCAAGGGTAACTCCACATTCGCAATATAAGAATTGTTACGGATGCTATAGGCGACGGTACTACTAAAAAAAAAAAAAATCAGTTTTATGACAGCTCTAAAGAATTGTATATATGTATGGAAGATAGCACTGAGAAAGTATATGGTGACACTTTCGGGAACATTCTGACTCAAATATTTAGGTACTATACATAAAACCTACAAAGAATTTTCTAAATACATAAATAAATTGTTGTGATAAGAATTTGATATTTCCTGTCACATATTTTGAAATCCTTGTTATAATAATTTAATTATTTTTTATTTCAGATTGAAAGAATTCGTGATCACAAAGCTAAATTGCAAGAAACTATATCGACTTTTGAAATACACGAATCAAGGTTCAACACTATAGACGGAGAGTTTCAAGAGAAATTGAACGCTCATAGCAATTTAGAAAGAGATTTAATGGAGGCTAGAATTAAAGAGGAAAAACTACATTTGGATAAAAGAGCGTTGGAAGCGGACGGTGAAAATGGTAAGAACATATATAAACCAATATATATATATATATATATATACAGGGTGACTGGTGAATTACTATCGATATTTGAGGACGTGATATTTGACGATCATATATGACAAAATAAAAATTAATATAACATAAATATTAATAAACTTCTAAGTAAAGTTAACCAAAAGTTATGTAATTAATTACGCATCGTATGAACACCCTACAGATTAGGTATACACACACACTCACACATACGCGCGCGCGGCGTAGTGTTGTATCGGCACGCCGCCGCACGCGTCCACACTTGGAACACTTGGAACGTGTACACACTTTACTTATTTATACGGAAATTTGGTCAAAAATTAAGTACCTATTTTATTTACATAATTCGAATGAGAATCATGTACCGAGTATGCTCCTTAAATATTATATGTGACAAAGATTTTCGCGAATTATATTCATTTAAATGAAACTAATATTTTTCGGATATACTACGCGACTTTTTTTTTGTAAAAACCGCGAAACGGGCAGCCGAGATCACAGTTGCTGAAAAATAGTCGAAATGTCGGGAGAATGTAGCTTTTTAAAAAAATAAAGCACGCGTAGTATATCCGAAAAATATTATTTAAATTATATAAACTAATTCCAAAAAATCAACCATCCACAGTTTTAAAGCCAATGTTGTCAATTAATATTTCAAATGTATTAATAATTTTTGCTTGAAATGGCACCATAAACATGAATAAAAAAAACGATTATACCATATATATTACTTAAATATAATATAAATAATTCTTCAATATTTTTTTCTTTTACAGAACAGAGTTTGATAATGGAATTAAAGAAGTTAGAAACAGAAAGGGCTACAATAAATAAAACGCTTGAAAGATATAAAAATAGTAGAGCACAACAATTATATCCATTGGAAAATGAAATAAGATCATTTAGACATAAGTAAGATACTTACTAATAACTAGATCCTGACTAATATTAGAAATGCGAAAGTAACTCTGTCTGTAACGCTTTCACGCCTAAACCACTGAACTGATTTTAATGAAATTTGGTACAGAGATAGAGTTGACCTTGATAAAGAACATAAGATAGTTTTTATCCCAGACTTTTGAAAGGTTTTCTTGGAAAAACGATATAACCGAACTCTACGCGGGCGAAGCTGCGGGCGGAAAGCTAGTTAATATTATAAAGTAAAATAAACTATAGGTTTAATAAGTGTGAATTGTATATCAAATATGTAAAATAGAAGTACTGATATAATGGAATTAAAGTTTATATATATATATATCAAATGACATTTTGGAGTTGTATAAAACATTTTATATACAGGGTGACTGGTGAATTACTATCGATACTTGAGGACGTGACATTTGACGATCATATATGACAAAATAAAAATTAATATAACATAAATATTAATAAACTTCTAAGTAAAGTTAACCAAAAGTTATGTAATTAATTACGCATCGTGTGAACACCCTACAGATTTGGTATACACACACACACACACACAGGCGTGCGGCGGCGTGATGTTGTATCAGCACGCCGCCGCACGCGTCTACACTTGGAACACTTGGAACGTGTGCACACTTTATTTATGTATACGGAAATTTGGTCAAAAATTAAGTACCTATTTTTTTTGAATAATTCGAATGAGAATCATGTACCGAGTATTCTCCTTAAATATTGATAGTAATTCACCAGTCACCAGGTATAAAGTGTTATATATAAGTTACACATGTGTCATATTGTTAAATAATATGATGTCAAGTGTAATATAGGTAGTTCATTATTATATTTAGTTCCGTCATTCAGTCTTTCTGCTTAGCATAATATATGAACTACGAATTTAATATAGTTTTATTGAACTACAAAATGGTTATTTGATTTCAGGATAAATTCTTTGGAAAACGTTGAAATGGGATGTCTTGATAAACTGAAAATAAAACATAGAGATACATATAAAGCGTGGGACTGGCTGAAAGAGAATATGCATAAGTTCAAACACCCTGTATATGGACCTATGATGCTTAACGTACGTATATAATGTATATATACAGGGTGACTGGTGAATTACTATCGATATTTGAGGACGTGATATTTGACGATCATATATGACAAAATAAAAATTAATATAACATAAATATTAATAAACTTCTAAGTAAAGTTAACCAAAAGTTGTGTAATTAATTACGCATCGTATGAACACCCTACAGATTAGGTATACACACACACTCACACATACACGTGTCGTGACGTAGTGTTGTATCAGCACGTCGCTGCATGCGTCCACACTTGAACACTTGGAACGTATCCACACTTTATTTATTTATACGGAAATTTTGTCAAAAATTAAGTGCCTATTTTTTTTACATAATTTGAATGAGAATCATGTACCGAGTATGCTCCTTAAATATTGATAGTAATTCACCAGTCACCCTGTATATATATATATAATAAGTAATGATTATATTCGTCATCAAAGCCTCTTCTCACATGGAGAAGGTTTGAGAATTAATCAAGACTATGCTTAATCAAGACGGATTGGTGATTTCAAACTTATAATTGTGAAATTATAAGTCCAGGTTTCCTCACGATGTTTTCCTTCATTAGACAATGGTGTCTAAATACTCTTACAAAGTACATATGACTGAAAAATCACGTTGGTACTTGCCAGGTTTCGAACCCGCACCCTCATGTTCGTGAGGCGGACCTTTAACCACTAGGCCAGCACTGATTGACTGAATGATTATTTATATATATAATATTATATTTTCCCAGATTAACTTCAAAGAACCGAAATTCGCACGCTATTTAGAATCAACGGTGCCGGTGAGAGATTTGAAAGCTTTTGTTTTTGAATCAAAAGATGACATGAACAAGTTTAATAAGATAGTTCGAGAGGAATTAAAATTAAAACAAGTTAATGCCGTGCATAGTGAAGGAGGAAATTTCAATGTACGATCAATGGATATACGAAACTTGAGGTAATTATATTAAACTATTGAAAAACAACAAATTAACTGTAAAGCCTTGCTATAAAATCGTTTATAACAAAGTACACTACAATTAGTTACTACTCTGATTTATACTGACAACGAAACAAGATAAATTTTGTAAACACATCATGACTTTAGACTTATAGATTTAAGAAACTTAAGGTGAAACAATTTTTTTAAAGTATTATAAAACACCAAACCAACTATACGGTCTTGCTATAAAGTACACTACTATTAGTTATTACTCTAGTTTATACTGACAACGAAACAAGATAAATTTTCTACACATCAATTCTATATACTATACAGCTTTAATGTTTTTTTATTATTTTTATATATGTTATATATATATTTATGTTTCAGTTACTTGGGATTCTACACATGTATTTTGGACACTATTTCCGCTCCAACCGCCATCTTGCGTTACTTGTGTTCCGTGTATCGTATTAATGATATACCGATAGGCAACAAACATACATTTGACAACGTCGAAAGAGTTCCAGATAATATTAGATTTTATTTCACAGGTTTGTATATAAATATATCAATAATATACAGTCGGAGATAGTACAAATAATCGTAACTAGCATTGTATAATTCCACGTATCTACATTGAAAGCAGATTATTATCAGAAGAAAGTTTAAGCTGAAATATTTTCTATTTTCTTAGTACTTTTTTCACAATTAGCAATTATTTAGTTTTTAATTTATAAACACTACGCGCATTTGCACTATCCCCGCCGCTATAGCTTATCTTTGAAACGGCTGGACCTATTTTGATATGACTTTGAGTATCTTAGTCTACTTTTTAATTCAAGATGTAAATTCATAATAATTTGATACGATTAAATGTTTGTGACGGCTACTGCTTAAATCTAAGGAGAGTATCAAAATTATTTTTTAATCGATTAATTATCATAAGCCAGATTCTAATGAAAGAATAATCGAGAAATCCAATGAAATGATATTTTATTAATATGCAGGGAAAGACGCGTTCAAACGCTAGTTTATTATAAACAGTGGCGGCTATACCTTAAGTGCACTCGTGCGCTGAACCACCAATTCATAAGATTTAAAAATTACAAAATATTACTTCATCTTTATTTTGAAATTACCATTTAATATTTATTTTTTAAACATATAAAAACGTATAAAAAATTAAATTTCCTAATTATGATCAAAAAGTTTGAGCGCTTTACTAAACTCGTGATTTAAATTCGTGATTAAAATTAATACGCGTGAAACAAAAGATAGTTCATAGAAATGTACCGAGTAATGAGTCGGTTCTCGAGCGCCGCACGAGCGGCCGAAGATTACCGAGAGCATCCGATGTATGACGAATTGAGCCATGATTGACATCTCGTTATGTTTTGTTGCATTTTCTAATTTTAATATTTTAGTAAAGTGCACCACCAGTTCGATTACCTACCAGCCGCCACTGATTATAAATCTGATAACAAAACGTTCCGATTTTATCTAAATGTATATGTTTCATATAGTTGAAGAAGTGTTCATTCATATCTTATCTGTAAAACAGATCATAAATATACTTAAAGCGATTCAATATCAATACTTATGTAATAATAATTATGTTTCTGGCATTAAAGAAATATTAATAATTGAATTTATTAATGTTTCTTTAATATGTAATTAAATAAAAAGTCGTGGTGGCCTAGTGGTTAAAGCCCACCTCTCATGCATGAGGGCACGGGTTCGATCCTGGCAAGTACCAATGTGATTTTTCCGAGTCACATGTACTTTATAAGAGTATTTAGACATCACTGACAGACGCTGAAGGAAAACATCGTGAGGAAGCCTGGACTTATAATTTCACAATTATTAGTTTGAAGTCATACACTCATCTTGAGCAAGTGTTTAATGCTCAAATCTTCTCCATGTGAGAAAGAGGCCTTTGCTCAAGAGTGAAGTCTAATAGGCTGATGATGAATAATTGAATTAAAATATTGATTAGATAGAAAATATATAATATAAATTTATTCGACACGACTAAGTTCAAACCCGCTACCTCTCTACGTTTTATTATATTAGTTATAATTAATATAAATATTTTTGTGTTAATTTTCAGAAAATTATAGAATTAGTACTCGCGTGTCTTTCTACAAGGTGAAGTCTACAACCACCATAGAAATAAAGGATGCAGATCTGTTAGCGGACAGTGTCGATTATAAACAAATTGATATATTGAAGACTCAGTGAGTATATGTAATAGTTTGAGTGAGTATATATACTAGCTTTCCGCCCGCAGCTTCGCCCGCGTGGAGCTCGGTTATATCGCGTTTCCAAGAGAACCTTTCAAAAGTCTGGGATAAAAACTATCCTATGTTCTTTCTCAAGGTCAACTCTATCTCTGCACCAAATTTCATTAAAATCAATTCAGTAGCTTAGGCGTGAAAGCGTAACAGACAGATAGACAGAGTTACTTTCGCATTTATAATATTAGTAGGGATTTAACCTAATTTTCCATATTAATATATAGAAAAATAATTTTATGAGATATTGTAACAAACATACATAAATACACACTATATGATCATTTGAAATATTAGCCTTGATTGTGACAAAATAATTCAATCTAAGTTACACTTATATTAAATTATAATGATAATTTACTCATATATTTAATTTCTAAAGGTTATCTCAAGTACAAGAAAAGAAGAGTAATTTGGAGAGTCAATTTGAGGAGACGCTGAACGTAGAAGAAAATAAAGTGAAAGATATTATTGGGAAAACAAAGGAAAAGGCGGATTTGTTAGAAAAGGTATTGTAATATATATGAGACGAAACTTCTCATAATTCAATGTATTCATATGCGTGTGTCTGGTCCATCGTTGTAGTGAGAGGAGTCTCAACAGTGACTGGGACTTGTGACCCAGGTGTAGGTTTAAGAACCTATCACTCACCTCCACTGTACAAACTCCTCTCTCTACCAAATTTGAAATAACCTACTAAGACTGCATCAAAGTACGTTCCAAGAATGAATTAATATTAGTTCTGGATAGGCCCAAGTTTTTTAGTAGGTTGTAGAGAAATTTGGTTGTTATACCATTCGCTCCTACTTCTACTACATATATATTTTTTATATATCTATATGTAGCCAACATACGCTATGACAATTTGTAATGTATCTATTAATAATATTGCATATTAAGAGTTTCATTTAACGTTCTCAATTCAAAACAATTAAAGTCTATCGCCACAATCAATGTCACTAGATTGAAACCATACATTTAGATATTTACATATTTAAAAATTTAATTATCTTCATAAAGAAATTTTAATATACTTAACAAATATATACATATATGTGAAAAAATCCTAATAAATATATTTCTTTACAGATTAAATCCATAAATCTACAAATACACTTCCAAAAGCAAAAAGTACGTGCATTAGAACGCGAACCGGCAATAAATATAGAAGAAGAAGAAAAAAAGTGTAAAGAAAATAAACAAGATTGTGTTAACAAACAATTTACGGCGCAGAAAGAAATGTACAACATATTACAACAAGTACACGAACAAACGATCAATATGGAGAAGAATACGGTTGGTTGGGATTAATGATATAATAATATATATCATTGTAATCTTCTTCTTCTACCTGGAAATTTCCCAGCTTTAGCCAGTCTGCCTTACATGTTGTGAATAGTTTTGGCTAATTGTTTTTATACCGGCCGCCTGCCTAACATCAACCCTCTTTGGGAATGCATTAATCAGTGATGTCTAAATACTCTTAGAAAGTACATAAGACTCGGAAAAATCACATTGGTACTTGACAGGATCGAACCCGCGCCCTCATGCATGAGAGGCGGGCCTTTTAATTGACTTTATATATATTACCATTGATGATATACTGATAATAATATATACCATTATAATATATTGATCTTGACGTTAAAGAACGGTCATTATATTGATCTAATAATTCGATTTTTTCTCATAGTAATACAATATAGAGTTTAAAAAATCATAATTTAAATGTATGATAACATTAATGGACCAAGGCGAAATTCCCAAGAGTAAAATTTAATTTTTACTTATCTATTGGAATATGATATTTGTAATAAGTTTAGTATCACTAGATCAACTAATTGCCGCCGTATTGTTCTTGGCAGCTCTGCTGAACGACTTAAGCTTTTTTACTACACTCTTTTTTGCTCTAATGGGACACTTTAGAATGCAGTCAAACCAATGGGGATAATAGTAACAAATGTCTCAAAAAAGTATTAATGTAACGCGACATGTGATAGATAGACGAAAATCAACGAATGTAATAAAGTTGCAATTTAAACTTGACATACAAATTTTATACGTTTAATGTTTGACATACAAATTTTATACGCTAATAATCAAAATATTATTGATTGATTAGTTAGATATTTTTAGATAATGTCTCAATTAAAACTTCATTTACTAAATATTTCAGTTCTTACAACCATAATTTTGTTTCTTATTACCGTATATAGTTTCAGATATATATAATAAATAATTTCTTTCTTTTTATTTTAGATTCACTTATCTATACATAGAAACGAATTCCTTCAAAAGGAAGCCCAATATAGAAGATTGACAAGTGACTTCGAAGCGGCCAAGGTATATACACGTATAATATAAATATATTGCCTACGAATATTTATAACAAAATGTAAATGAATATAATAAATTTCCAGAAACTCCTAGAAAACGTTAAAAACGATTTAGAAAGAGCAACAACAGAAGCTAATCAGAAATTAGAACAGGCGAGATTTAGCTGCGGTGGAAAAAATATAAACGAACGAGACTTTCCTTACAAGAACGAGTTCAATGAACTACCCTCGGACAGAGAAGAATTAGAAGTATACAAGAACGAGAGGCTTGCCAAAATATCACTCATGAACCAGGGTGATAACCAGGTCAATAGACTTTAATATATATTCGGGGATAGCAAATTCGCCTAACTATGGATAATTCCGCGTATCTACATTAGAAGCATTGACAGATTGCCAGAAGAAAGTTCAAGCTGAAATATTTTCTATATTAATAATTTTTAAAGCATTTTTTTCACAGTTAGTAATAAATTAAACACAAAATTATTACTAATTGTGAAAAAAATACCTTAAAAATAATTATTATAGAAAATATTTCAGCTCAAACTTTCTTATGTCAATCTGCTTCTAATATACAGGGTGACTGGTGAATTACTATCAATATTTAAGGAGCATACTCGGTACATGATTCTCATTCGAATTATGTAAAAAAAATAGGTACTTAATTTTTGACCAAATTTCCGTATAAATAAATAAAGTGTTGACACGTTCCAAGTGTTCCAAGTGTGGACGCGTGTGGCGGCGTGCCGATACAAAACCACGCCCCCGCCGCGTATGTGTGTGTGTGTGTGTATACCTAATCTGTAGGGTGTTCACACGATGCGTAATTAATTACACAACTTTTGGTTAACTTTACTTAGAAGTTTATTAAGTCATATATGATCGTCAAATATCACGTCCTCAAATATTGATAGTAATTCACCAGTCACCCTGTATATCGAACAATATAGCAAAATACAATTTGTTTCCATTCGATTCAATTATAACGGATTTCATTTATAGTCGTAATTTTTTTATGTATTTTATGTTTGTATAGCCTGTATAGTTATGAAATGTGTGTTAAACGAAATGTATGTAATAACTAAAATTGTACGGAAATTTGCAAAATTAATTATATTAACCCATTTACTAAGAAATTTGTATATTTCATACATAGAGAACGGAAATATAAAACATTTGAAATATTGATGAGAGGTTAGGTTATTATTGTCATTTAAACAACGTGTTTTATTACAGATGGCAAATATTTAAAAACCTATAAAATTTATACATTTTTTCTTTATCTACGCATCAAATATTTTTTAAACAATATTGTAGATATTTCCTAGGATTTGTATATAATTCCTTAATTTCGTAATATTCCGGTAATATAATTCATTCTGATTTCAGGTACTCAAAGAATATGAGGAAAGAAAAAGAAATATAGCGAAACTCAAACAGAAATTGGATTCATCTACTGACAACAAGAAAAGGATAAGAGAGGAAATTAAAACTATTACGTTAGTACTCAAAACAATATTAAATATTAAATTAAAATAAAAGTCTAAAGCTTTATATATTAGTTCATGTATCAAAGTAAATTATGTAGAAATATTACATCATACGAATAGATAACGTAAATCAGTACTAATATAATAAATGCGAAAGTAACTCTGTCTGTCTGTCTGTTACGCTCTCACGCCTAAACCACTGAACTGATTTTAATGAAATTTGGTACAGACATAGAGTTGACCTTGAAAAAGAACATAGGATAGTTTTTATCCCAGACTTTTGAAAAGTTCCCTTGGAAACAAACTCCACACGGGCGGAAAGCAAGTTATTAATAATTACATATTAAACAACGCGTCTATCTTAAATTTATTAATGTATGTAGTCAATAATTTTAAAGTATTAAATGTTGATTGAATGCTTTAGGGACTCAAAACAAATATATATATGTAGTTTAAAACAAGATAAGAATTGAATTTTTAAAAACAATATTCGATACAATCTTAAAATTAATTTATTCATTTTGCACAAATCTTACAATAATTTTAAATAAATATATTTCAAATATCTGCATTTCAATTTATCGTGTAATTAAGTCTGAACATAACACAAACGAAAGATTTAAACACAGAAAATATACGATCGATTAATCTATCACGCTTATACGCGTTACAGTCTTTCCACCAACAAATACTTTTTTTTTAAATGGATGTTATAGAATACAGTTTTATGAAGTGTTTAAAGCAAATAATGTAAATGGCTAAATTGATACATTGGCCCTAATATATAAGACCCATCGATATATATGTATATATACTAGAAGACCCGGCGAACTTCGTATCGCTCTATAATCAAGAAATATCTGTAACGTTTTTTTATTTATATTTTTGGAGTTTACCTATTAAAGCCATAAATCTCCGTGTTTTGAAGTGCTACAGAATGATTGAATATTAGTTAGTTGTCAAAAAAAAACGTTTGTACATTTATCAACAACTACTAATAAATGAAAAATTAATTAAAAAAACATCGTCCAGCGGACCAAATTGTGAATCTAAACCATTCCCAGATCCCCTTGAACACACACAAAAAAATTCATCAAAATCGGTTCTGTCATTTGAGAGAAGTTCAGTGACATACAGACTCACAGAAGAATTATATATATAAAGATATGGCAATAATATTTCCAGGTCAAGATGGCTGCCACCGCTTGAAAGACTAGTGAATGAGATCAAAGAAAATTTCTCATCGATGTTTCAGAAGTTGGGATGTGCTGGGGACGTCGCGCTATATAAAGGAGAAAATGATGTATGTACAGGGTGTTATAATACTATTATTAATGAGAAAGCTTATAAATATACTGAACTGATTTTCATAAAACTTTTCCAAAGCTCAACGTAAACATGAATTAAATAAGTTAGGTGTCATTGCAAAATTCCCAATAATTATTGTATGTATGTGACGGTTTGTTAAAAAATCTATGTGATCAGAAACACTATTCGTCTTTTTTTAAAATTAATTTCCAAATCCAAACGGACAAAGTCGCGAGAAAATATAATTCTAACATCGTCTTGAAAGAGAATAAAACGAATCAGTATTATTCAATTTAATATTATTTAATTAATACTAGTTTCATTTTAACCTATCAATGTGTATCAAGATACATCCTAATAATTCGCAAGTACAGGTAAAGTTTATATTAATAGAATTATCAAAATATTTTTGGTATGTAGCTCCATCTATTATTATCAGTTCTTTGCAACTTGTTTGTTTATTGTGTATGTATTAAGAAAGTAACTCTTTGAACAACCTCAGAGTTTTATTAGTTTAAATGTACATATTTTGTAATAGATTTTAATGAGTCTCCAATTATATCGTTTATATTTATCTTCTTCTACCTGGCAATTCCCCTTAGCCAGGGTCTGCCTTACATGTTGTGAATAGTTTTGGCAAATTGTTTTTAATAATACATACGGACCAAATACGGAATTAAAACTATACAGTTTGAGGGAGCGAAACTATATAATAGCTTACCTAACGAAATTTTTAATGAAAAAGCGTTTACGATTTTTAGATGGAAATTATTGGGTTATTGTAGGGAGCACTTGGATTAACCACTCTTGAGTTGTATAAGTCTATTATGTAATACATCTCATTTAAGTGAAAATTGTATGTTCTTTATGAGAAATAAAGTTCTTTTAAAATAATAATAATAATTTAATCAAATAAAACTCAATAATTTAATCAAATCTTTATTTCTCTTTCCAGGAGGAGTTTTCGTGTTACGGTCTAAACATAATGGTTAAGTTCCGCGCAGAAGAAAGTTTGAGGCAGCTCACAAGAGATACACAATCGGGCGGAGAGAGGGCGCTGTCAACGGCTTTATATCTACTTGCCTTACAAGCACGAGTCGCTGTACCATTTAGGTAATTCAGATCATATCTAGCTGAATCCCGCGGTGTTACGGGATTTCCGGGATGTAAAGTAGCCTATGTGTTATTGCTAGCTTCCTGTATACAAAATTTCATCAAAATCGCTTTAGCCGTTCGAGCGTGAAGAAGTAACAAACATACACACACTCACAAACTTTCGCAATTATAATAATAGTAGGATAAACCAGATGAAGATGATCTCTTGACTATGTTGGAAATATTACGGACAAGATATATAAGATAAAATGGACGGATGTTAAAAATAGATCTAAAGCACTGAAAAGTTACTAAAGACGAAGCTTCCGATAGAGCGATGTTGAAGAAAAAGACCAGAAAGGCTGAACCTACCATTAGATTGAAATAGTAAATGCTACAGAGAGAGATATACAGGCTGACTGGTGAATGACTATCAATATTTAAGGAGAATACTCGGTACATGATTCTCATTGGAATTATGTAAAAAAATTGGTACTTAATTTTTGACCAAATTTCCGTATAAATAAATAAAGTGTGGACACGTTCCAAGTGTTCCAAGTGTGGACGCGTGCGGCGGCGTGGTGTGTGTGTGTATACCTAATCTGTAGGGTGTTCACACGATGCGTAATTAATTACATAACTTTTGGTTAACTTTACTTAAGTTATTAATATTTAAATTATATTAATTTTTATTTTGTCATATATGATCGTCAAATATCACATCCTCAAGTATCGATAGTAATTCACCAGTCACCCTGTATATATATATACACCAGTAGATAAGTCAGTGGTGGCCTAGTGGTTAAAAGCCCCACCTCTCATGCACGAGAGCGTAGGTTCGATCCTGATCCTGGCAAGTACCAATGTGATTTTTCCGAGTCATATGTATGTATGTACTTTCTAAGAGTATTTAGTCATCACTGATTAATGCATTCCCAAAGAAGGTTGATGTCAGGCAGGCGGTCGGTAATAAAAACAATTAGCCAAAACTATTCACAACATGTAAGGCAGACCTGGCTAAAGCTGGGAAATTGCCAGGTAGAAGAAGAAGATATAAAATACATATATAAATTGACCAGCCTTTAACTAAGTAAGGATAACGCCATGTATTTCATTTAGCTAGGATAAGTTATAATAGTTTGTCAATAGGTGAAAACATTATATACCTATGCCCAAAGTAAGCAAAACATTTATGAACCCCTGATATAACAGACAAATCAATAAATTCACATCATCATTAGTATATTATCTTTGAAAAAATATGTATATACATCCCTACTAATATTATAAATGCGAAAGTAACTCTGTCTGTCTGTCTGTTACGCTTTCACGCCTAAACCACTGAACTGAAATTTAGTACAGAGATAGAGTTGACCTTGAGAAAGATCATAGGATAGTTTTTATCCCAGATTTTTGAAAGGTTCTCTTGGTAACGCGATATAACCGAACTCCACGCGGGCGAAGCTGCGGGCGGAAAACTGGTAAATAATAAAATGTATGTCTTTTTATCTAGATGTGTGGATGAAATCAATCAAGGAATGGATGCAAAGAATGAAAGGGACATGTTACAGTTACTGATTAAGGCGACCACTGAATCTGATTCACAGTACTTCCTCCTCACACCAAAGGTAAATATATATATCAGTTATGTATGACTGTATTATTTATATATATCTTATATATAAAATTCTCGTGTCGCGGTGTTAGACACAGAACTCCTCCGAAACAACTGGACTGATTTTGTGAAAATTTTTGATGAAAACATCTATTTTTCATACCCCTAAGTCATAAGGGTTGTTCACCCTTAATTTTTGTTAAATTTCCGACAAAGTTAATATTGTACGAAATTGATACATTTGATAAATTGTATATAAATGGCAATAAGACAAACTAATTACTGTATATGTAAGAAATTTTGATTTGTAAATCTTTTAAATTTAAGTTACACTTTTTTTATATGTATGTATTTAAAAATAATTTTGAGAAAACAGCTACATATCATGATTTTTGAAAGTTAATTGATATTGCATGAGAGATTATCTCATACAAAGAATTCTAAATTATTTATAACTATTTATTAAGTTTGTAAATTTTTAATAAACTGTTGCATTTTAGTATTTAATTTTTTTACGTACTCTATTGATGGTGTTTAATGAAATTGTCATAATTCACAGTTGCTCCGAGATCTTGAATATAATGAAAAGACAACGATCCATACAGTAATGAATGGCCATCACATAATGAATTATAGGATGTGGGATGTGAAGGAATTCCTTCAGAACGCTAAAAGAATCAACCAAATATGACTTGTGATATGTTATTTAATAATAAATGTTAATCATTTAAAGTATTTGACTATTGAATTTACAAATTTAGACATAATGACAGTACAATTCACATTTTAAGTGTATTTTTGTATGAATGTAAAGGTGGCACTACATTGACGTTTATTTGTTGTGTTCGGCCAATAAAACCATGTGTGGAGGTTTTATTCGTCTTCATTTGAATTATTTGCACAAATAAGACACACACAAATAAGTGAAAATGCGTAAGGACATGTTTGCATGCCAAGTGTGGATGTCGTATTTGCGCTATTTGGATTACGTACAAATATTTGGACAAATACGGCGAATACGCTATGAAGTGAAGTGCCATAAAAATTAAATGTATCTTTAAGAATTGTACTTAGCAAAACATAATATCACAAAATATAATTATATAGCCCTTCATTGTTGCTTTTGTATGAGAATGTGTCATTGTAATACAAATAATTGTTAAATATTCTAGGTTTTAGAGAAACACAAACTTTACAGGTTTATTTTTATAGTCAACATTGAAATGTTTTTGCTTTTAACAAGTGTCATGACAGATTTTAATGTTCCTATTTCTTATGCAATTTTTGAACCCATAGTTAAATAGACAGATAAGGATTTTTTAAATGATCCATGAAGATAGATTAACTATGCTTTTTTAGTGATTTATTACTTAATATATATGAAAATAGTAGTAATATTTTAATTGTTACATAAATGTGATTATAATTCCCACTGTATTATAACCAAAATTATATCAATGTGATTGATTGATATTGTAACTGTTTATTTAATTTTCGAATGATATAAAGTTGCAAGTGCATTAGAGCAAATGAGGTATTTAAAGTTAAAAATATTTTTTAACAACATTTATATATAAAAAATATTTTTTCTTAATAAAACTTACCTTTAATTTGTGTTATAGCAGTATCATGAACTTTGTAGTATATAACGTAAGTATTCTTTACAAATTTACTCTTAAATAGTGTTTTTTTCCAAAATAGTTATTTTATTCAGCTTTTTTTCCCATCTACCAATTCTACCAACATTTCTGAATATATTTTAAATGAATGTGAGATTGTAATGTGCCTTTTCGACCTGTACAAATGTATATACATTTATATTGTTTTTTTACAACGCAAGTGTTTTTATTAAAAGAAAAAATAATTAAAACTTCAATGTTTTATTTCATACAAACCTTATTTAATTTAAAAATAAAATTAATTGTCATTAAATTGAGTTAAAATTTATAAACTTGTGTAAAAAGGAATATTTTATTAAAAGCCCAATATAATTATATGTTTAGATACATATTATCATCGCTACTAATATTATAAATGCGAAAGTAACTCTGTCTGTCTGTCTGTTACGCTTTCGCGCCTAAACCACTTCACTGATTTTAATGAAATTTGGTGCAAAGATAGAGTTGACCTTGTGATAGAACACAGTTTTTATACCAGACTTTTGAAAGGTTCTCTTGGAAACGCGATATAACCGAACTCCACGCGGGCGAAGCTGCGGTCGGAAAGCTAGTTATTAAATAATATTAATATATAATTATATATATGTTCATTGTTCAATTTCCCCGCCTCTCCCCGTCCACTGTTCCTCAAACTTAACATCACATTCAAGATCTCTGAGTGCTGATTTAACATCGAATCCAAACTCTTTGTTGAATTTATTATACGTTTTGTTCAACAAAGCTTCTATATCTAGTTCGTGGAACTGTGAGTTGTATTCACGACATCGCGATACTAGATTACGTATCGCCCAGCACGCGTTTTTCTGGAAATAAACGAAATATATTAAGGTTTTAATTAATTATATATATTTTTATTATTGTAACAATGAATGCTTAGATCATAGCGTTTGACAGTTAAGAAAAATATATATTTTTTCTTTAATAATTGCTAGCAGACACAGTCATAACCTTTATATTTGAATTACATGTAAAAAAATTATCACATAGTTATATACACAATAATCGATCGTCAGCGCCATCTATCGATAACAAACAATACAACTGTTATGACTTAAAACACATTGTATGCAAAACTTCATGAAACTATTACCCCTTTATTTAGTTTTACATAGTTATAAATATAAACGACATTATTGGATACTCATTAAAATCTATTACAAAATATATTTAAACTAATAAAACTTTGTGAGGTTGTTCAAATACTGACATACTTTCTTAATACATACACAATAAACAAACTACAAGTTACAAAGAACTGATAATAGATAGAGCTAGCTACATACCAAAAATATTTGATAATTCTTTTAATATAATCTTTACCTGTACTTGAGAATTATTAGGATGTATCTTGATACATTCAACAATCGCCTTTATGACGCCTGTCTCAAAGAACTGTTTCGCGTGATTCGGTTCTCTCAGTGATAAGGCTGCTATACATTTCAGTATAAGCGCTGACGCCGGTGCATTTGACTGAAAAAATTTACACATATTTTAAACATTACTATATTTTATTTGTTTTAATCCCTAATAATATTATAAATGTGAAAGTAACTCTGTCTGTCTGTTAAGCTTTCACGCCTAAACCACTGAACTGATTTTAATGAAATTCGGTACAGAGATAGAGTTGACCTTGAGAAAGAACATAGGATAGTTTTTATACCAGACTTTTGAAAGGTTCTCTTGGAAACGCGGAATAACCGAACTCCACGCGGACGAAGCTGTAGGCGGAAAGCTAGTTACATATAATTATATATAAACTTTTTACTTTCATAGGTCAATTTGGGTGTTGTTAAATTTAGCGTTTAAAAAATATCTTTAGTAAAATATAATATTAATAGTAATAATGTTAAATATACTCACAGAATGTCTCCCTAATAATGAAACTATAACTGGTACAATGCCACCATTAACTATATCACGTTTGACATCGTCATTACCAGCCAATGCGGTGATACTAGAAAATAACATTTTTTTAAGAAAATTTATCAAAATCTAGAAAAAAATATTATTTAAATCTTTTTTTGCTTTATACCAGAGGTAAGCAAAACTTTTGTTCTTATAGATCAATTCGAAATTATCTTGTCTTTTCGAAAAAACCGACAAAAATTCAAAAAAGGATTTTATTTATTTTCAAGTATGTAATACTTCTCTAAATATAGACTATGAGGTTTTTACAACAGATGTGGAGCTTTTTAAAACATATCCCTCTTACAATACCAGGTAAAGTAAAATTAACATTTTAGTTTTAAACCTAGATTAGTTTTAAAACCCCCTTTCATTCATAAACTATAACGCCTTATTTTTTCCTGACAACTTAAAAGATATAGACAATACAGTTACCTACATATATATTATATTCATTCATATAGAGTAAGAGCCCGGGGCCACCAGACGTTACTTATTTTCTGAGTAACGAAAAGTATCGTACAGAGTAGTGTTAGGGTATACGTTGAAGGTATGCATACCTGCTAACTTGGGCCGACGGCCAATTCACAGGTACCAAGGTGCTAGAGGTACATAAAAATATTGGTCACTCTTCTTAAATTCTGAGAGCTGATTTTTATATATAATTTAAAAAATTTAATTAAAAATTTAAAATTAATAGTGCCAGAACGTTTTCGTCGGCGGTAATTTCCGCCAGACGCTTTAAAGTTTGGAAAAAAATAATGTAAGTTTACTCTAAGTCTGAGTCTTGATTTTTATATATGATAATTTAGAAACTATTTTAACACTACATATTTCTATGCAGCCACAAAAATTCTAGGGGCCAAATATCTCTCAGACATATTTAAAACTCGCCATGAGTATGCATAAGATCATTATTATTTACGAGGAATAAGAACCGTCTTTATCTCAAAGTTTACCAGATTTTCATGCGATCACTGGCTGTGATTACAATCCTGCTTTTTTTAAGAAAGGTAAACAAAGGCCATTCAGTATTCTTAAAAAAAACGAAGAGTACCAAAAAGCCATTTCCAGATTTAGCGAACTGGAGTTATTTAGTAGTAATAGTGAACTTGAGGAAGAAACCTTCAATACCATTCAAAACTTTATTTGCAATGTTTATAACGTGGCCGGAGTCATTGATGTAGATGCTGCAAGACTTTAATAGCTTATCAACACCTATACTGCTTCTGATGTAAATGAAGAGTTTATCCGGAAAAATATTAAAAACTTTGATGAGACCAGAGAATAACGGATGGAAGCTAGAAGACAACCGATATCAATTTAATTGGTTCGATGGAGACCAATTACCGTCAGTGAATCGCTTGACAAAAACTTAGATTTTTTTTAAATTTCTTTTACAAATGTGTAGCTATTTTACTCATAATTATGATATTTTATTTGATTTTACAGAGACAAAAACAAGTAATACTGATATTAATGATGATGATGATGACTTAGAGACTCAATACAATAATTGGCTGGATGACGAGTTCTCAAATAGGTATCTCAAATATCCTACCAATGATGACGATGACGAATATTAAAAACTAAAATTTAATTATTAATAAAGAAAGTAATTCATCTTAAATATTTTTTTTATAATATTTGCTCTACATATTTCTCTATGTTTTGTAGAAAAATACAAATAAATATTTTTTCCAGGATAAAATGCTAGTAACAAAATTATTTTTTTTGTTACTTTTCGTACGAACCTTCCCACTCAAACTTAATAATTTTTATCATACTGAAATTTATAATTTGTAATTGGGCGCTAAAATATGGTTTGATTATTATTAAAAAAAATTACAAGACTGAACTAAAACATAAATTCAACAGGCCTGTGATAGAAAACCGCGAAAATATTATGTGCGCGTTAATACTCATGGCGAGTTTTAAATATGTCTGAGAGATATTTGGCACCTAGAATTTTTCTGGCTGCATAGAAATAGTGTTAAAATAGTTTCTAAAATATCATATATAAAAATCAAGACTCAGACTTTCAGTAAACTTAGGTTATTTTTTTCCAAACTTTAAAGCGTCTGGCGGAAATTACCGCCCACGAAAACGTTCAGGCACTATTAATTTTAAATTTATAATTCAATTTTTTAAAATATATATAATAATCAGCTCTCAGAATTTAAGAAAAGTGACCAATATTTTACCTGTACCTGTACCTGTGAATTGGCCGAGGGCCCAAGTTAGCAGGTATGCATACCTTCAACGTATACCCTAACACTACTCTGTACGATACTTTTCGTTACTCAGAAAATAAGTAACGTCTGGGGGCCCCGAGCTCTTGGACTAATATTTCAAATCCAAAGCTGATTCTTATATCGAGACGCAACAAACATTGAAATTAAACAGTATAATATATATGTACCAATTGAAAATTTTATGACCGTAGATGAAAAAAAATTGGTCTAATATCAAATTTATCAGTTTCCATGGCAACCAGAATAAACATCCCTTGGATACAGTTAGGTCGATACTCGAATAATTCATTCCAAAAATGTCTCGACGAAATGAAGATTACCTCTCATTTGGGGACAAAAACTTTGGACTAACGGACAATAGAAAACTGGGATCAACACAATAAAGACGTTCTCAGAGGAAATATCATCGGTGTAACAGATGAGAATACTTCAATCACCAAGAATTGCATCGTAAAAGTAAACCATACATCTTGCAATGATTACAGCACCAGCACAGACCAATTAAAACATAGATCTCGACACATAAACTATTGGAAATCAGAATTAGAGAGAGCCATACAAGATATAGAAGCTGAGATAAACCAATTAGAAGCTCTGAGACAGCAACTAAAGAACGCTATGGATATTATAAACATACCAGAATATATAACCGATGAATGTATGAATGTGAGAAGTTATAGAATGCAAACTGACATGGTCTACGACGAACCACAAGATCAGTTGTTCAAAGAATCTGTTTTGATTACCAACATAAAGAAAATACATCGAGAATTACTAAGGGAAGTTGAGAATCAGATGAAAATGAACGTATCAGCGAAAAATTCTTTGGAAGATGATTGGAGCAACAAATATATAGCTTTTAGGTATGAAACTCACAACTCAGAGTTGGAAACTAAGTCTGTTAATGTTAAAGACTCGGCCGGAGCTACAAAGCTATCTGAAGGACAATCCGATGTAAAATCATGGGAACAATTCACTATAACAGCGTTAGAAAAATACAAGAACGCTATCGACAATTCCAAAGCACTAAGAATTAAATTGGACGCGGTGCTTATAAATTCAGCGAGAGATTTAAGATCCCAGGACATAAAAGTTAACAAAGCTTTAAGCGAAAGAATCGCTCAAACCGAACGCGTTAAAACCGAATTGGAGAATCAATTGCGTCTAACTCTATCAAAAATAGTTGAAACTGAGAACATATTACAGACTTTAAATGAGGAAATATTGAAAATATCCCAAAGGATACAAGTGGCGCAAACTAGATTGAACTTAAAAAACTGCAGACCGAAAGTCGAAAATTGCAGAGAGGGTTCATTAATGGGACTCATAGAGGAAGTAAGAGATTTGAACGATAGTATGAGTCTCTTACAAAAGAGATCTCTAGAAACAGAGAAATTAAGAGCAGACTTAATACATGAGAGAGCTATAATTGAAAACGAAATAATAGTTAAAAAGAAAACAATTTACATCGACAATGAGAGGTGTTTGTTTTTACGCTCACATTATCAGTCTGCTGAAAAATTGTGTGGTTATTAATTGTGCATTCAAATACAAGTCCTAAGAATATGTGCTTTGTTTTTTTGGCAGATAAAATTATGCATTTTCTTTATTATGAGTTCTATTTTAATATTTTTTTTTGTGATTATGTTTTGATTGGTAATGACAATTTTGAAAAAATAAATAAATATATTAAGCCAAGTCATAAAATTAATATTAAACCTTTAAAAAACAATGTTTATTATTGTTAAACATACCATATAGCTTAAATTTGATTTAAAATATATATTACAAGTTTGCGACATCTATAAATCTAGATAACAAATAAAAAACGCATTTTTTAAATAACTTGATTAAAAATATACAGGGTGACTGGTGAATTACTATCAATATTTAAGGAGAATACTCGGTACATGATTCTCATTCGAATTATGTAAAAAAAATAGGCACTTAATTTTTGACAAAATTTCCGTATAAATAAATAAAGTGTTGACACGTTCCAAGTGTTCCAAGTATGGACGCGTGCGGCGGCGTGCTGATACAACACTACGCCGCCGCACGCGTATGTGTGTGTGTGTGTATACCTAATCTGTAGGGTGTGCACACGATGCGTAATTAATTACATAACTTTTGGTTAACTTTACTTAGAAGTTTATTAATATTTATGTTATATTAATTTTTATTTTGTCATATATGATCGTCAAATATCACGTCCTCAAGTATCGATAGTAATTCATCAGTCACCCTGTATAGTCTAGTATGAAATAATCCAATTTATTATACTCACAGTTTACAAGCTTGTTGAACGACAACCACATTATCGTAATTGTCACAGAGGACGCTCATGAGCTCCGCCCGTAGGTCCGCCCTCGAGCACAGCTCGTGACGTACTAACAATGTAGAGGTAGTCCACATTAACTCAGACACCAGTGGTGGGGTCGTGTGTTCTAAAAACATTTGAATTTTGAATATCGAACAGGATGATTTTTTTTAAATATCCTATAGTGTTCATGTCAAAGAACGTAAAAATAATGCCAATAAGATAAATTTATTGTAAACAAAACATAACATTTTTTTAATATAATTTAATGTAGAAAATTAGACAGTGTAAAAATTGAGCATTTCAAAATAACAGTGGTTTTTTAAACAAGAATCCTTTTTTTTTATATTCAAGTAAGAGATTAATTAAAAAATAACGTCATACTTTTTAGTACAATTATCATTCTTAATACAAATTAGTTTTTACGTGTCGTGAACTTTTTCAAATTCGTTGTATGGCTATATATTTGACAATACACAAGATTATTTACAAAAAAATATCTTGTTTCGTTGGATATTTCCCACAAATAAAAGAAAATGAATTAAGAGCAGAAATCACAGATATATTTAAATATTTAGTTTTCTATAGTAATGATCTATTCCGATCTTCAATTGTTCTAACATAAATATAAAATCCTAAATAAAAGTAACAACTTTTCTTCATTATAAAAATTTCTTGACTGGTCTAATAGTAGGTATTAATATTCATATTTTTACTGACATATCTAATATATAGGTATTATTTCTATATATTGTAATAATATACTTACTTTTCATTAATCCAGCAAGTGTTTCAAGTAAAAGTAGACCCAAATCACGAGCATGTTCATGTGCTTTACCAAACTCAACTCGAATATCATCATCGAGAGTGAACTTCCTTATAACTTGTAATACTTCACATAATAACTAAAACATTATAAAAATATTAATATACCTATAACATATGTAACATAGGTGTATGTAGAATTAATATTGTACATCAAGAATTCTTCACAAAGATTATATTTTATCATATATTTTCAAATGCCAATATTGAACTTAAGACTTATTATTTTAATACAAATACTCTGTTACTTTGAGTAATTACATAACATTTTAATTGGTAAAGCATTTTGTTATCATTATGGGCTTAAATCTTACTCATGTAGATAAATTTTTCATTCAAAATTATTTATGTTTTTCAGTCTTGAGTAATATAGAAAAGAAAATGTTCTAACTGTTCTAAAACAATCAATCTCATCCGATCATATAAATTATATGTAAAATTAAGTAACATATTATATGTTATGTATTACTTAGACTAGCTCGCTATTCTTAAATAATAATATGATGGTAAATACAATGTAGGTAGAATACTTCATTATATTGGTTTGTCATTCAAACTTTGTACTTACATACATACATGACAAATTAAATATAGATTTATTGAATACTACAATATATGTGTTATTTTCATCATACCTGTACATTACTTTTTCCGAGTAAAATCTTTAATTTCTTTCCGATGTTCGTTGCAAACAGATTCTGTCTATTGATTTCATGTTTGGTGCAACATTCGTTGATCCATTTCAATGTTGATATTATAATTTCGTCATTCTCAAGATCTAAACAACTTGGGAATAAATACACATTTATATAATTGTAGACTAGAGATATTCCCAAAGAGGGTTGATGTCAGGCAGGCGGCCGGTCGTAAAAACAATTAGCCGAAACTATTTACAACATGTAAGGCAGACCCTGGCTTAAGCTGGGAAATTGCCAGGAAGAAGATAATAGTAGACTCAAATTATATTTAAACTGATTTTGTTACTACAAAGAACTTAGAATTCTTAATATATATTAATAATTAAGAGAAGCAACAATATAGGAAATTAATTTAGAAGAAAAAAGCTTATATTATATTTATATAAGTGAAAAGTTTTTTTGATTTACACTCTTGCATTCATTAACTTTTAATCAAATTAATTAATATAAAAAATTCATATAAATGTATAATAATTATTTTCTATATATAAGTATAAAATACCTGTCAATTAAATCAACTCCTCTCTTATCAAGTAAGTCCGGTTGTACTTCCATCAAGGCTACCAAACAATTTAATATTTTAACTACAAACTGTTTATTTTCTTCATTCTCTTCAAATTTATACATTTTTAATTTTTCTTCTAATAGATCTATTAATATATTATAAGCACCCGCTTTTCCCGCCATAACTCTGTGTGCTATATCTTTACTGCATTCTGCCTGAAAGAGAAGTAAACATATTTTATATAATTACTAGCTGATTGCAAACGTTTTTTTGCCATATAAAAAATAGTGTTGGTGATAAAAAAGTAAAAATTTTGGGTTGTATGTATTTTTTAATGCTACAAAATAAAAAAGTGAAAATAAAATATTTCGTCCGAAAAAAAAAATTAATGGTGAACAACCGTTATGACTTAGGGGTATGAAAAATATGTAGATATTGGCTGATTCTCAGACCTACTCAATATGCTCACAAAATTTCATCTAAATTGATCCAGCCATTTCAGAGGAGTATTCTGTCTAACACCTCAACACATGAATTTTACATATAAGATTTACTTCACTGGTGTAATTTTAATATTTCTACATGAAAATCTAATAAGAATATAATAAAATACCTTTAAGATATCCAATTCATTCATAATTAAGGTGCCATTTTCATTATTGCTGCATAATTCCTTCAATTTTTTTACAGTTGTCAAAACCAAATGCTTATCGCCAGAACCCAAAGCTAGATCCTTTATTATATTAGTGAGGTCTACACCCTGGAAGAATAACATATGCATTTGCCTTAAAAAAGTTCTTGAAAACATTAATTCAAATGTTTTCACTTATTCATTGATGTTCTCAGAATTTGTACAAATTTAAGCTTAATTTTTTTTGAATATAGTGGTATGTTAAAACTAAATTGTTAAAAGTTAATCCATTTAATATTACAAAGGAATGGAAAAGTAATCAACATCATCAACTCTTTGTTATATTTTAGATACTTGCAAGTGCAAAATGTAACATATTTCTAAGTTATACTGTCTTGTAACTTGTTGTGGGTCTAGTACTACATTTGTGCTAGTTTGCTAGCCGTCCAAGCTATGAATTCTTTAATAATATTGAAGAAATAATACATATTATATACATATTGAAATGAAGCACTGCATTTTTAATATAACATTAAATCACTCACTTGTGCCTCAAACTGATCTATCGCCTCTTTTATAGCCTCTTCAGGACTCATATCAAACTCTTCGATGTTTTCCTTAACAACTTCATCGTAAGTATCTTGAGTAATAACTCGAACCATTTTTTGCTTCCTTCTAACTATTTGTGTCAAAATCTTACCCTTTACGGCTTTTAGTTTAAATATTTAGTCAAAATCAAAACCAGCTGATGAAACTTTTAAATTCTGATTCACTATTACTGTTTATAATTTTGACAACTTTGACATGTTGTAGTGACAATTATATATAACTTGAATATTTGTTTGAAAGAGCTAAAATAATCTATATGTAGCAATCTTGAGATAAAATAAATATTTAGTTTGTTATAAAATAAATCTATTTTTGTCTAAAGTAATAGAAGCATAATCATATGTTCTTATAATAAATACATAATTAATATACAAAGAGGGAAATTTAAATGGATGAGGAATTCATTCTGAACATATCATTTTTACTGGAGGTTAATAGAACAGTACATTGATAATTTCTACCGAATTGTCCATGATTAATCATAATTATTAAATTTGCGATAAAATACTTGTTCTAACTCAGTTATCACTGTTAAACAGTAGTCAAATCGTTTTTCCGTATATTTTTTCAATAATAAATTAGAAAAATTGTATATTCAAAACGTCAATCGCAAATGGCAAATGTAGATGACGCATACTTCTAAAAGAAGTTATAAAAGAAATATGCAATTTTGTTGATTCAATGCGTAATTAGTGTTTTGTGAACATTGTGGAATATAAACTATAAATTGTGCATTTAAATAGAACAAAATGAGTTTTCTGGGAAAATTGTTCGGTGGTAAAAAGGAGGAAAAAGGGCCGACTACACATGAAGCTATCCAAAAATTACGGGAAACCGAAGAATTGTTGATTAAGAAGCAAGAATTCTTAGAGAAGAAAATAGAAATAGAAATACAAACAGCTAAAAAAAATGGGACAAAAAATAAGAGGGGTATGTGTAACAAACTCATGTTAGTTACGTATTCCTATAGCAATGTGTTGTCTTTATATATATTATTATAGTTCTATCTTTTGTTGTCAACCACTGACCTTGATTTCAAACTTATTAAATGTTTTTCATTCTTAGGATGATATCTAATAAACAGTTAAAAAAGTTTAAATCAGATTTCTATTGCCACATATTTTTACTATTATTGTTTGATATATGATAAAATCAGTAATGACACTCATTGTTGCACGTCATCGTATTCAATACATCAATAAGAAAATGCAAATTATTATATATTATACACTTTTAATTCCAAAATACTGTTCTCATCTCCAAAGTTAAATTATGACGTGTTTTTTACATGTAATAATATAAAAACATTTTTCACAGCTGCCATCGCGGCTTTAAAGCGCAAGAAGCGCTATGAAAAGCAACTCACACAGATTGATGGAACTCTTACACAGATTGAAGCTCAAAGGGAAGCGCTTGAAGGGGCCAATACTAATGCCCAGGTCCTCAATACTATGAGAGATGCGGCTAACGCTATGAAACTTGCACATAAAGATATGTTAGTATCATTTATTATATTATTTCAGTATAATATTAAGTTGGCTATACAATATAAACTTGAAATATTGTCTTCAAATCAGTATTTAATTGACAAACACACAATTGTCATCCACACTAGGCTAGACATGTATCTTTACATCAATTAATTTTTAGCAGACAGGATACAATAAATTATTACTACGCTTTTAGTAATAGTAAATGACAATCACACAGAAAGTATTCCTTAACATGCAAATCCAAAATATATAATACATAGTGGTGGCCTAGTGGTTAAAGGTCCACCTCTCATGCATGAGGGTGGGGGTTCGATTCCTGGCAAGTACCAATGTCATTTCCCGGGTCACATGTACTTTCTAAAAGTATTTAGACACCACTGACAGACGGTGAAGGAAAACCTTGTGAGGAAATCTGGACTTATAATTTCACAATTATAAGTTTGAAATCACCAACCCATTTGAGCAAACGTGGTGATTGATGCTCAAACCTTCTCCATGTGAGAATAGGCCTTTGCTAAGCAATGAGCTCTGATAGGCTGATGACAACATCACACAATATAAACTTGAAATATTGTCTAAAATTCAGCATATTTCAAATTAGATCTTCAAATTTTGGTTTTTAATATGATAGATGTCATTTATGTATAGAGTTATTTTAATTGTCTGAGTACTAAATTATGTGATATCAGAAATTGTGACATTTGTACACAATAATAATTAAAGAATAATTCAAAAAATATATAATATTAATATATACTTTCCTTTATACATTTTAATAACATATAAAAAATTATTAATATTAATTAAATTTTCATTATCATTTTTTATACTTTCTAAGAATATTTAGACACCACTGACAGATGGTGAAGGAAAACAATATGATTAAACCTGGACTTATAATTTCCAATTATAAGTTTGAAATCACCAACCCATCTTGAGCAAGTGTGGTGATTAATGCTCAAACCTTCTCCATGTGAGAAGAGGCTATGCTCAGTAGTGGGCTCTGATATAGTGACGATATTAAAAATAATAACATTTATATGTTTAATTATTACAGTGATGTGGACAAGGTTCATGATATAATGGACGATATAGCTGAACAGCATGATATATCTCGTGAAATAACAGATGCTATCAGCAACAATGTGGCCTTCTCTAACGATATTGATGAAGATGAATTAGAAAGAGAACTCGAGGAATTGGAACAGGTGGGTTTCATTGACAAATGATTATTGTATGAGACTTATTTATTTTTTATTATTAGTGGCCTTACCATAAATTTATAAGGTATATAAACTTTTTGCAATCTGAATAAAAAAAGAAATTCTTCATATTTTGTATTGAAAGCAAAATCAGTTTGTTAGTATGTATGTATAAATTATATGTGACTCCAATTTGGAAATAGTAATAATTTTTATTTAAATATCCTTTTTCCTTATACATAAGCATTGTCACACAATCTTTTTATGTGACCACATTTTATTATATTCTTATATATGATATATAATATGTTTGTAGGAGGAGCTCGACAAGGAAATGATTGGTATCAATGTACCAGCAGATACACTGCCAGATGTTCCCGCCGAGCCTGTACCTGAGAAACAGAAGGCAAAACCAAAAGAAGAAGGTATGTTATATAGAGGATATATATATATATAGTAATATATATATACATATACTAGCTGCATCCTGTGGATTTCCAGGGTAGCCTATATGTTATTCCTGGATGTCAGCTTCCTGTATACAAAATTTTATCGAAATCGGTTCAGCCGTTTGAGCGTGAAGAAGTAACAAACATACACACACACTCACAAACTTTCGCAATTATAATATTAGTAGGATATATATACATATACATACATTGCTGGGTCCTATGTATAAGGGCCAATGTAGCAATTTAGCAATTTTCATTGTTTTGCTTTAAACACCTCAATACTGTATTCTTCAACATTATTTAAAAAAAAATATATGTATATTTATTGGTGGAGAAACTTGGTTTTTATTCCAGTAAAAAATCCATAAGTATCATATTTTAACATATAAGGGCTTATTTAATGTATATTATAAAAATATATATTTAAAAAACTAGTAGGTTTACAAAATAGTTTATTAATCTTAAATACATGTATGTCATAGTTGCTATGCAAAGTTTCAAAAGCATCAGTAGTCGCATGTACAGCCACGGGCAAAAGTATTAGGCACCCTACAGTAAGACAAGTTTTAGAGTGTTTTAGCATAGCGAGTGTAAATAAAACTGCATTTATGATTACAATGGTTTATTTTAAGAAAATAATCAATATTTTGTAGGTCCACCTTTTGACTTAATAACCGCAGCCACTCTTTTTGGCATTGACTCTACCAGCCTGAAACATTCTTCTCTTGATATATTTTTCCATTCCTGCTGTAACGCGGCCAATAGAGCTTGTTTATTGCTAATCGAGTGCCTGCGGATATTTTTCTTTAAAATGGACCAAATATGCTCAATCGGGTTGAGGTCTGGTGATTGTGGTGGCCAGTCCAAGAGATCAATATGATTTTCAGCAAACCACTTCATGGTATGCGCGGACTTGTGGCAAGTGGCGTTGTCTTGCTGAAATTTCAGGCCATCGGTGTTTGTATCACCGAAAATTTGCGTTATCGACGTTGCTAGTGCTGTTTCCAGAACTTCAGTGTATTTAACACTATTCATTCGTCCCTCACACAACACCATTTCGCCCACTCCGTCGGCAGCCATGCAGCCCCAGATCATTATTGAGCCTCCACCATGCTTAACAGTGGGAACCACACATTCTGGGTTGTATTCTTCGCCAACCCTTCGCCTAACATAAGTCACACCGGGTGTTCCAAACACCTATGCCAAACGAAAAAAACACATTTATTTTATTTTTCTTACAGTACGTTATTTTAAAAACATTTATGTGTTTTAATATTGTACATAAAATAAATAACAATACCTCAAAGTTAGATTCGTCTGACCACAGTATGTTGGACCAATCTTCCACTGACCAATCTCTATGTTTGAGTGCCCACTCCAACCGATTTTTCTTATTGTGTTCTGACAGCCACGGCTTCTTCCTTGCTTTACATCCTTTTAATCCAGCTTTAAGAAGTCTTCTTCTCACAGTATAAACACTCACTGAGCTGCCTTTTGCCTCAGATAATGCTGCAGCGAGCTCTAAAGCAGTTTTTTTCCTGTTTTGTAGAGACTGCCTAATCAACAATCGATCTTCCCGTTCAGTAGTAACTTTTCTTCTGCCTGTTCTTGGTCTATTTTCATGGGTGCCAGTCTCTTTGAAGCGATTTATAGCATATTGAACTGCACATCGCGAGCACTTCACTTCTCGGGCTATTTTGACCTGAGACATGCCTTGTTCATGTAAAATCTTAATTCTTAGACGCTGTTCAGCACTAAGTTCAGATTTTTTCGGCATGATTAACACGTTAAATGTTAGTCTTTAGAATTGTGATAGGAATAGTTGCGTAGAAGACGTGTATGTTCACTGCAAGCACTGATAACACACTATAACCCGAAACGCAAAAAAAGCAAATTCGAAGAAACACCGCTTAGGAGCACACCTGGATGTCATAAATATTTTCTTTTATCTTAATTTGGTTAAAAATTGCCGCTAATACAATAGCTAAACCATAAAACACACATTTGACCGCAATATAATGAGATAGTGACTAACAATAGGGGTGCCTAATACTTTTGCACGCAGCTGTACAAGATACATTCAAATCAAACTTAAAACACCTCTACTGAACAATAGTCACTTTGCACATAGGCCCTTGTACATAGGAGCCATCAATATATACATAGTCTAACCTAGATAAAAATTCTAATACATAATAAGCTTATATTCAATATTACAACTTCTATCTGATTATGACATATTGATTTTTATTTTTTATATAAATTAATACAGAAAAGTGGGAAATTTCATTAAAGATTCAAATGTTTTAACTAATTAATCTTCTTTTAGACAGAGAACTCCTCCGAAACGGCTGTATAGATTTTGATGAAATTTTATCAGCATATTGAGTAGGTCTGAGAATCGGAAAACACGAAATTTTTACTTTTTTATCACCAACCCCTATTTTTTCATACGGAAAAACAACGTTTGCTGATTCAGCTAGTATTTACATATATTTCTAAATATTTTTCTCTCATTTCAGAGGACGAAGACTTTAAGCTGCTTAAATCCTGGGCTACATAATAAAAGCACTGACAATATACATATATATAATTAAATGCTGTTCTTATTTCAGATATAAATATTCGCTCTTAGTTATATATTACAAAATAAACATAGAAAAATGTATAAACAATTGCTTTTAAATACAAACAGCACCTTTTTCTGTGTTTATATAAATATGATTTAATTTAATAAGCTATTAATTCATTATTACTGTTCTATTTAAAAAAAATATCAAAAAAATGTTTTTTTTTTATGATGTGAAAACCTGAATATTTGTAATACAAATAATATTATTTTACAATGGCTGATGGTTCTGTTGCACTTTTCAATAAAAATTCTCGTAATTTTAAGGCTAAATATTCTAAATTTATTGCCTCGTGTTGAAATTTAAAAAAATAATAATGGCGGGAATCTTTATTGTTGTATTCTTAGTTTAAATATTGATAGTGTTGAGAAAGAAATGTGAAGCGTAAGATTGTCTTTGTAATATATATAAATTGATACGCTTTTTTATTATATTACATTCTTCATTCACAGAATCGAATCGGAATATTTAATTCGTTTTATTATTAAGCATTATATATGTGATTTAAATATCATTACTATAACTATAAAACGAATGAGTGAGGAAAATTAATAAACTTAGAATTACTAGCATTGCATTGTAAGCGGTACTTGTTTATGGCAATAAAAACTTTTTGGTAAATTATTGCCAGAAGTAAAATAGACGTAATATATAATTTCTTTTTATTACTCTGTTTTTAATTAAAAAAGAGTAATAAATAGAGACTATTTAACATAATTCTCTCAAATTCATACAGGTTTTTATATTAACAATACATATAGGCCGCCATATTGGATTGTCATAGATTCGCACTAGGAATGTAATTTTTTAAGCTGTGCCTACTAATTTGTGCATAATGGTTGAATAATATATTTTATTTATACATTTGTGTTTTTATTTCCTAATCACCCTAAAATAAAGCTAAATAAAATAAGATTAATGACAATAAAAATTATTACGTCGATTTATTTGAGAATTGTATGGCTTTGAAACAGGATTTTTTAGAACAATAAATAATAAATAACAGAAAACAAAGTATATAAAACACATGATTAAATACATATAACATTTACAGATAGAATCGATTTCAACACAATGTTTCCATACAATAATTGTATAATTGTTATGTAATTATACAAACAGATACCAACATGTTTGAAATACATTATTAGTACACGCAAAAGTAGCCATTAACTTCATACATTTAAAGCTTATATTTGCTGTCAATAAAATACTTCATTGGAAATAGTTTATATCATTTTCTTGTTTAATGATTTGGATGCGCGAAACGGTTCTAACCTCGCGGGCTGAATTTCGATACAACGACTTTCCCTTGCGGGTATATTCTGGTCTACCGCTATTTTTAATAATAGATTTATTAAGAAATTAACTATTAGTTTGGGGTTTATTATTATTTTTTTCAAATAAAGAATAATTTGAAGCGTACAGCAAAGGTTTTTGACATAATGCCAAATTTTATTTAATAATATTTGAAGCTACTTTCTTAGTATAAACTTCGACTAAAAGGTGGATTGCTTTATTGGAATCGTTATTGTTTTCAAGATTCTTATAGATCATGCTTGTTTTATTAATCAAGGGATAGTTTTTATGAAAAATAATAAATAAATAACTACAATGTAAATGTTATTACTATAGATAAAAAATATATGTGTTACCAGAATAATACCTCTTAATTATTAACATACATCCTACTTTATATTAGGTGGCCATGATATCTTCCTTGCAGTCGTTTTTCTTCATTCATACATCATGAAGCTTTTCATATTTGTGAGTACATTTAATATAACCGTTTTATTTTAAGGAAACGTAACTTGTCAATTAATATATAGACTGTAGATGTCAATAAAATGAAATATAATTATTTATTGTAGCGAAATATTAATAGTTTTGCAATTAAAATTGTTACTATGTAATCATAAGTTGTTTTATAATTCTAAAAAAAAATTCTTAAAAATTATAGAATTTAAATAATATTTTTTTTCTATCTGTTGTGATAGATTATTTTTAAATCGAGTCTATAATTTTTTTTAGTACTTATGAATATTTTAAAATAGTAAATATACTGGCAGAATATACTTTGAACTTCTATGCACAGATGAATTCAATATTTAAAACAACCTAACCTAGAATAATCAATCAAAAGTCAAAAAATATTTTATTTTACATTTTCAATATTAAATTTTCAGATAACTCTTCTAATAGCCGTTGAAATGGCGTCCTCAACAATCACCTTGGACAAACTAACAGAAAAAGTCCAAGCTGGGCTCAAGATTTTAAAAGAAAAAGCCGTAACTAAGCTTCACAAATTAAAGCAGGAGATAGATTTAAAAAAGCTGCATCAGTTTCACGTGTCGCACTTTCTTCCATACGCCCATAAACATTACGTTCAGGAACACTACCATAAGAAAACGCCATTGATCATAGATCCTTATCAAATCCATAGACTACAGCATTACTTTGAGCCCCATCACCATAAGATATCACCGATTCACGTCCATGGTTATCACCATGAACCACCCCATCATCATATACATGGACACCATAATGTTAAACATCATTAAGTAAAAGTAGATTAAAATTTGATTGCAAATAGTTTTATGTCCATGTATAAAAATAAATAGTTTATTACATACATTATAAATGATATTCTATACATTTCCATTCAGTTAAAGTTGCCTTACACTAGTTTTTTTCCTAAAGAAAAATACGAAAGAAAATAGACGGCAGTCAACTTTCAAACCTCAATAATTGCAACACTATGCATTAATGGTATAGCTACCAATGTATTTAATAATGACAATTGTATTTGTATACATTAAACATTGCGAAGGGAATTGTAATCGTGATACGAATTGCTTATGCCTTCGAAGACTTAGTCCGTCGATTTGACGTATAGTGATTAGATCAAAGTAATGTTACGTTGTAAATTTGTCAATAGAAGAGTTTAATTTAACTGTAAAATACATTTTTCTTTCAGTTTTTTTTTATATGTACGACTGAAAAACAAAACTTTGTTATTCTGTTAAATATTATAAATAATTTTTCTAGACATAAAAGATCTATTGTGCTCAATAAACGGACACGATTGTGTATATTCTATTAGAACTAATAAATTTTCTTCTCTTAGTAAAGTTAGTACAAAGTTGTAGATATTTTTATATTTTTAAATAAAATGTGTTAAAAATGTTATTATACACTGTTCTCATTTTCCTCTTTCCTAAAACTTTATTCAAACAAACCTTTATGAAATATACATTTATTAAAATAGTTTAAATATAACATTTGTAACACAATAATAAACAAGTTAATTATTTTCCAATATTAAGATCACAGAGCAGCTTATCGAAAACGTCGTCAGTCCCTTTATCGGGCTTCGGAATGAAATCATCGAAGATTCCGTTTTGAAAATCTCCAAAATCTTCACGAGTGTCGGCCAACCCTAATTCTGTCAGTAAAGAGAGGTTGTCATTGTCAGTTTTGACATTTGTGACGTCACTGTCACGTTTGACGTTTGTCACGTCATCTGTCAAACACGGTAAAAGTTGTTCAGACGAATCAGTTTCGTCCTTGTCTTTCGTTTCGCGTCTATTAAATACTTTCGTTTCCTTCTCCTCGTCTGATGCGTCGTGGTACTCTTGAATCTCTTTACCATATTCAATCTCTGTATCATCGTCATCATTATCCTAAAACATATTCAAAAACCGATCTAAATATTTCATTTATATAAAAATCTTACTATAATAATAATTATAAAAAGTTATATAATAATTAGTAATTAAAATCGAGGAGTAATAAACGAAATTATTGCAATTATAAAGTTATAAATAACTATGGTCACACACCTACACAATTGTCAACCCATTTAATAGTGTCTGTCATCGACTTCTACTAATGGACATGCCGTATCCGTATAATCTGCAGTAATTTTTTGGTTTGAAAAGAGAGAGAGAGATGGCCTATGCTTTCGGTCTAGCACTATCTCTTTCCTCATAGGTACGGTACTATTTTGAGACAAATGAAGATAGACCGAAGCTTCGTTTCCTCTCTTTCTTTCGGAGTGCCACAATTCTCATCTCTAAGGCATGTCCATTAGTATAAGTCGATGGTGTCTGTCACAAAAATCGATACAAAAAAGTATTTGTAATAACTTTTAACTTACTTGTATGAGTTGTGTAGTAGATTTGTATTGGAAGGCATTTTGTGATAGATCTACTTCAACGGGAAACAGCGTCGCATTCTCTTTCAAATGTTCAACTGTCTCACTGAAAATAATTATTATGAACCAATCCCTACTAATATTATAAATGCGAAAGTAACTCTGTCTGTCTGTCTGTCTGCTACGCTTTCACGCCTAAACCACTGAACTGATTTTAATGAAATTCGGTACAGAGATAGAGTTGACCTTGAGAAAGAACATAGGATAGTTTTTATCCCAGACTTTTGAAAGGTTCTCTTGGAAACGCGATATAACCGAACTCCACGCGGCGAAGCTGCGGGCGGAAAGCTAGTTAAATATAGATTAAAAAAACTTTTTATTACGCGAATTTTCATCTAATCATCTCTGTTATACTAAATTATAGATTAAATAAAGGTTTTAAATTAGAAATAGATAATTATTAGAGCATACTTATGATAAACAGCCAATCCGTGTATAAATCTCTTCAGTTGATAAGCTACGTCTTGTGTCTTTTTGTTATCTAACAATTCCAACTTAACAAGTACGTCTGATCTCAGTCTAGCGAATCTAGCTCTTGCTTCTTGACGGCAACGTAAAATTAATCTGTAATTTATTTATATTATTACCAGAAGGAAATTATTCATTGAATTCAACATATATTTTTTTATTGTTTTATTATTTTTTACGCTGGCAATTATTGGGATGTAACTACATGAATGGGATTAATTTAACTTGTTAAAACTAATCTTGTTTTCTTATAATTAAATTAATAAGTCACACAAACTCATATTACTCTATAAATACCTATATTCGTAATTCCCCGTTTCCACTCTATACAGAGGTTCCTGTAAAGCATTATATCCATATTCCTCATCATCCATTTCCTTGACCTTCAAGCAGTACGACAAGTATTCAAACTTGGTGTCAGCGTATTTTCTTATAGTGAGCTTTGTGTCTGGTATAGCTTTGTGGAGATATGTTCCCATGTCGGCTAAAATCTTTAATACGGATAAAAAATTAATATAATATAATTGTACCACAGAAATAGGATGTCTGTCATAAAAATATTTTTCGTTAGAAATTACATTTCATATTACAGCTCAAGAGACTATTAATTTATGTTAAAAATAAGTTTAGAAAAGATGAAATGTAACGCTAATCGAAACTGTTAGGTATTGAATTTAGATTTTTTTCTATTTTATGCTATAAAATAGGGCAACCGAGCAGACGGTCAACCTGATGGAGGTAGTACCGTCATCCATGGACATCTCTTATGTTGTTGATGTATCGCCACAATCGATTAGGGAAGAGGGGGAGAAAAAAGTGGGAAAGGGAGGGAAAATGGAAGGGGTAGAAAAGAATGGGAAAAGGGAAAGGGCAAACGACTCTCTCACTCATCGGGCGAAACGCATCCGTTAAAGGCTACTTTACGCCGATCTTCTGTGAGAGGGTGGTATTTTCCCAGTCGAGCCAACCTATGTTCGAGTTGCAGTAACTTGACCACTTCTAGGCTCTACCACCTATTTTGTATGTTCTTTTATACAATATATACAGCATTCAAAAAGTAATTCTCATTACCTTTCCTATAAAAATAGTTAAATTATATTTGAATATTCTCACCGGTTTCAATGTTTTCAACATTTTGATGCCATCGCGTTCAAGAAGTCGATGGCAGTGGCCGAATTTGGAGAATGCTTCAGATGCTCTCGCTTGTGGCTCACGAACACCGATAGCAGCGAATATATCTCCAATTGATTTGTATGTTTGCAACAGATCGAAATAGGATTTCAGCATTCTAGAAATTATATATAAAAGATAATCTATGGTGGTACCTTTTAGCTTTATTCCGGAATCCCAAATGTTTCGATGTTAATAATATGACTTTCTCAGTGCTTAAGTAAAAATTAAGATTAATGTCATAACAATAGGACTACAGAAAATATAGTTATCGAGATTACATTTTTGGTACATCTACATTTGAAATAAGATACATAAGAGCAAAGTCGTCATCAGCTTTTTAGAGCCCACTGCTGGGCAAAGGCCTCTTTCTCACATGGAGAAGGTTTGAGCATTAATCACCATGCTTGCTCAAGACGGGTTGGTAATTAGCGAACAGTGAAGTATTAAAAGAAAATAAAAACAATTTAAACTTTGTCACCTCTTAGCATGTTCTACCAATCTTTTGTACGTGTTTTCCGTTTCACGCATTTCATTTAATTTGGCCACTAGTGTATCATTGCATAGGATTGCTCTAGATAATCCCAAAGCATCTGCTGTACCCGTAGACATATTTTCCACCAATCTATGTTTCATCTTCTTCATTATGATGTCCAATGATTTTCCTTGTTTTGGATCAGCGTGAAGCTTATTGTAGTTTATTGTCACTTGGTCCTTAAATGATAGCATTAATGGAAATATTACTAACGATGTTTACTTATGGCGATAATTATTAGAGACTTGTCTGAAATTTTGTTGTACTAAAACTTAGTTGTGCAAAAACCATGGATGTTTTATAATTGTTATGTGGTTTAATTTAAAATTATAACACGATATTTTGTTGTATATATGTTAGAAAAATTAAATATAATGCTAGAATTAAATTAGTAATCATTTAGATACATATCTTTTTGTTTTTTTTTTGTAATTTTTATACTATTTTAGTTTACCTTAGCCGATTGTATCATTTTAGCAACTTCGACTTTAGTCTTTCCTTTAACTGTCTGACCATTAACTCCGACCAGCTCATCTCCACTTTGAAGTGTTCCATCTTTTGATGCCGGTGTATTATCGAAAATCTGAAATTAACATAGTAAAATATATCAATATGAGCATTAAATGTAAATACTCCTTAGCTTCTACTACGCTATATACAAAATTTGTAAGTATAGTAATTTATTTTTAATATTAAATAAGTTTTAAAGAGTTATACGTAATAATAATAATGAAATTAATGCCTTTATTCCATTCGACAAACTCCTTCGTGTTTCCCCCAAACAGTACTTAAAGATTTTAATTGGTCTTATATAAAAAAAACGTTGAAATTTTCAAAATATTTCACGATTCCAGTGCGAATGAAGCCATATCATAAAATAAGTAAGACTTATTCTGTATTTTTTATATGTAATACTTCAATTTTAGTTTCTCACACACTTTCACACTTATAAAATAGTATACTTATAATATATTTATTAATATTTAATAAGTTACCTGTACTATATATAGACATGGACATAAAGGTGCTCCGCCGCCTATACTTATTCCGATGAGATTTTTCTCATCCTTATTCAACACCACACTTCCAGACGTAACTGTCATTCCCCTGAAATGATGTAATACAACGTAATGTTTTGTACAAACCACTTTAAATTGAACTCTATTTCATAATGTACTTGTATCTTCAATTATAACCAGTTTATTGGTCTAAACTTACTTACTGTCCCTTTTATGTTTAATGAATTCTAGCATACATTCGCTATTCAAGCAATCGAGCGTCTTTATAGGAATATAATGATTGTTAAATTCAACTATAGTATAGTGAAGTAGTTAAGGTGATGGAAAATAAACACACGGAACAAATAGGAATTAATTTATTTGGAAAAATACATTCGAAAAGGGAAATACATATTATGTTCATTTCTAATAAATTAGCATTAATACAAAATACATATAACACACGCTAGCTGTTATTAAAATTACAAAAGAGGTGATTTTTTACTATATATGCTTTAAAATTCACGAAAAAAATCAGTTTGGGATAAATAATAATATATTAACTCTTATTTACCTATAATAAAAAGGAATTATTTTATTAATTATTCATTTTCAATGATAATTAAGAGGTCTATACATTTTATAAATAATCTTTATGGCAGAAACTCATAAAAATCAGTTTGAAGGTTTTGAAGAACAAAAAATCAACTCTTTTTCTACCATACAATAATCACATAATTTAGCGACTAGCGACTATAAGATACATAGTCTATCTTTCACATATTAATAAAGTTTTAGGAGCTCTTACTATCGTCTAAAGCTATTGTCAATATTTTATAGCCCTAACATGTTACTAACATAAGATTTTGATGTTGTATCAAATATCTTTCTTGTCTTAAATCGTTGAAGATACAGTCCGGGTCCAGAGTAAGTCTGAAATTATTTGTTTTAATAGAATAATGATTAAATTTTACATACTATTTTAATATATTTAAATAAGTACTTACTCATCGAGCAAAACATCTTTCTCGCTTTTAACTTCTTCTGTGTCAGTTATAATTGCACTGAATTATACAAAAATAATGAAAATATATTAAAACATAAATAAAAATGCAATTTAAATATTTTTTGTAAAACTTACCTGTCGACGTTCAATGATAAACACATTTTTGAGTTACCCGGATTCGTTTTGCTGAGTAATAAAAAATATAATTAATTTATTTTTAGGGTTTAATAAAAACCGTATAAAAACACCGATAAAATGGAAGCGAATTAAATAAATGATAACTTAATATTATATTCTTTGTAAAATACCGGAGAATAAGAAAACTATCTATTATATTAACCTTTACACATCACTAAAACAAAAGTTCTAATTAAATGCAAAACATTGTACATACAGATAAGATACCGACTTCACTAAACACACAACAACAACGCACTTATATTGGTAGTCTAAAACTATTATATACATAAGATAGGCTTAAATTAAAAAGCAAAAAAAAGGGAATAATTACAGTCTATCTTCGAACATCTTTGGTGCGATTTGCAAATACAACCTGGGATCATTGAAAGGCATTAAATGACTTCTGTCAAACATTCGCCTGCAGCACAACAACACGTATGAAAATAAAAACACCAACTAATACATTAACCAGGATGTTTCACTGATAAGAATGTGGAAATTTACATACATTTTGTCCTCTTCAAAGAAGAAATCGTCGTCATATTCCTGCATCATTTTGTTTGGTTTAATTCAAAGGAAGACTCAATTATCGTGATGTCAATTATATCGATTTTGGTTTTGTAGCTACGTGTCATGTCTAGCATTTGGTACAGAGCGCATGCTCAGAATCAATGTGCGTAGTACTAGCTAGTATCGTTTATACGAAAAACTTTATAATTGAATGAAAAACGCGTAACTACGCGTTTTTCATTCAATTATAATTAATTACTTACTTTAGTTGTATAAAATATGACTATTTTTAAATTAAAAACGTATACAATCGTTGACATATATAAAGTACTAGCCTTTCGCCCGTAGCTTCGCCCGCGTGGATTTCGGTTATATCGCGTTTCCAAGAGAACCTTTCAAAAACTTGGGATAAAAACTATTCTATGTTCTTTCTCAACGTCAACTCTATCTCTGTATCAAATTTCAATAAAATTAGTTCAGTGATTTAGGCGTGAAAGCGTAACAGACAAACAGACTGACAGAGTTACTTTCGTATTTATAATATTAGTAGGATCGAATATTCTTTGAATTGCTTCGCGATAATATCGTTTTATTTTAATAAAATATATCGAATGAGTTTATATACATATATACTTTTTGTCTCATTTTAGTTCGCTTTCGAATTCTTTTCAGTTATATGACAATGACTAATATTCTTTGAAGTTAGAGTGTAATTGCTTAAATGAAATAAACAAAAAAGTTATCTTATATGGGTACTTTTAAATGCATCTTTGCGTAACATTTTGACCCAAAGTTCAATTTCGGTGAGGCTAATTACTTGAAGAATATTAAACGGTATTTGGTAATATTGTTTTTTAGAATTAACTGGTTATTGTTAAATGTATTCTTGGTTTATATTATAACTAGCTTTTGCCGCGGCTTTGTCCGCGTGGAATAGTTACTTCCGACAGATTTTTGGTTCTTCCCACATAGTTCCCGTTCTTGCGGGGTTTTCGGAATTGTCGAGTTCCCGTAGAATTTTCAGGAAGAAACCTATTTTTTTTAATTAATAATGAAGTACTCTTAACCAACAATATATTTATTTGTTTATATGAATAAAGATTAATATTACTATTTTGATACAACTTAAACAAATTATTTCGACAAAATTAGGTACCATAAAAACGGTTTTTGTGAGTTAATCTTAAAAGATAGACATATACTGTCACGGACTGTTTTTTAGATCATTAAAAGAACTATTATTCTTTAATACATATTTTTTGTGTATCTTGAACCGTTTTCACGGCGCACGCAACGGAAGGCTTCAAAGATGAAATAATTTCTCCCGTTTTTTACACATTTACCATTATATCTTTGCTCCTATTGGTCGTAGCGTGATGTTATATATTCCACAGCCTTCCTCGATAATTGGACTATCCAACACAAAAAGAATTATTCAATTCGAACCAGTAGTTTCGGAGATTAGCGCTTTCAAACAAACAAACAAACAAACTCTTCAGCTTTATAATATTAGTATAGATTTCAATATTTTCTAGAGATCTTGTAAGAAAAGTAACATTCCAGTTATTGTAAAGTAATTTATTTGGTAAAAATGTTTCAAATTACAAGAAAATGATTTTAACTTTATAATAGTGTACAGATTAAGTAAAAATGTGTTTGTTAATTTTCATGTATTGACGTATTACTTAATACTAGAATTACATATTTCTATTAGAGTTAAATATTCTCACTTCCTCTTCAAAAGATAGGAATGGGGAGATTGAAACAATAGTTACATTATTTAATTTAATAAACCGATGCGAATTGTGAATAAATAGCAAAAAAAATCATTAATTCTTTATCGAATATTTGGTCTATGCAATAAGGATTCGTGTTTTCTTTTTACATAGTTACAAATAGTATTGTATGACCTATTTTTTTAATCTTTTTATTTCTCCTCAGTGTTTTTCTAAATCGCAATAGAATTTTTGATTTATAATAATAATAATCAATATTCGTTTAATCATAAGGAATAAATTATGTTATTTATAGCTCGATGTTAGTGATTTTTAACTGTATATTAACCTTGATAAAATGTCATGGTTTATTGTGAAAGAACTGATGGTAGTTTTTATAAAACCTCAAATCGGTAACACGCTAATGAAATTTTATCACAGGGAAATAATAACATCAATTTTTTAGGTGAAGGTAAGCATGTGAAATTTATGAAGTATTAAAACAAACATTTTGGTCTAAATCAGTAAAATCAATAATAGTGAGATAGAGTATAGAAAAGCTATGACTTTAAATGTCTATGGAAATAAATATATTTGTGTAGTTATTGCGTGTTTGTTTGTAATATTAGTAGAAATGTTTTTATATATAATTTATTTTATATATGGCATGTTTATGTATATGAAACAGAACAAAATGTATATTTTTTATAATTTCATTCTGTCTGTCTCCGTGTTCCGGCTAGACTGAGAAACAGTTGAAAATATTAAAGGGACTATCACTGTCAAATATTTGATGTAGGTACATATGTAGTAAAGACTAAAGAGTAACAGATAAATAGGTACATTATAAATAATATAAATAGGTAATTGTAAAGACAAAATTATTCTAGCACAGTGTTTGCAGTTCTGCATAAAGTCATTTTAAACTTATCGTTATCCTGTATATTTAAACGATTCAATGCTGCTTTCTTATTAATTGACTAAAGTGTTCCTGTGTTGGTGATAAAAATAAAAATATTTCCTTTTATAACTTCACTTTCTTCCAAAAAGCCTTTACTTTTATTCACTTTTATATCGAAATCCTTCCCTAACTAAACACCTTGATATACTCGCTTTTTGTTCAAATTAATCTTTGAAAAAACTGATCGGACTTAGTCACGACTTTTACATTAAATAATACATAGTATAAGGAAAATACAACTGGGAAATTTAAATACAATAAAATATTATTAGTTCGTTACGATAAAAATTTAAAACGAGAGAATATATTCCAGATAATTTCATAATTATAGTTTCTATAATCATATCTAAACTACAAAATATTTTAATGACAATAAATAATTAAGACAATAAAAATTAATACTTATATGAAAGTATTATATACGAAAATAGGTATAAGCAGAACTGAATTCGTAATACCAAATTATATGATCTCTTGCAACATTAGAGGATTGTCTTCCAAGGATGATAAGCAACTGATTATTTTGTAACATTCGCAAGAAATCCAAGCATTAATGCATTATACCATTTCTGTAGCAATTTCAAGTTCTCCGAAGCAATAAGTGAGTCGCCATCACAGAGGTCGGTCGTACGAAAAATGAAACGCATAGTGAGTATTGTGTTAGTAGAAGTGTCTCAATGTTTTGTGATGTGGATTTTCAAGTTAAAAAATAAATTTTATCAAGTGATTTTTTATAAAATATATTTTATCAAGTATTTTAAATTAAAAAAAAATATGTTACATGTTACAGTTTAGATTGCATTTTAAGTTTCTGTTAAGATGCTTTCTGTTATCAAAACAAAAAAAAATCCAAATTTTTTAACCTAATTTTAATTTATATATATACATTTAATCCGTATTAAATTACAATTTAGATAAAATTTTAAGTTTCTGTTTAAATCCTTTCTAACTTAAATAAAAGAAAAATATATTTTTTTTATATAAATATCCAAAAATATTTACATTTTCCAGGTGATAGTGTGCATCTTCAGTTTAATATCGCATTCGTTAGCGGCGGGTCCCATAGGCACCTTCCTGCAAATGAATGCTATAGGCTTCCCTGTTATACATCAGCTACAAAAATGGGTATTCGATCCAGATGTAGCTCTGAGAAGACGAAGACAATTCATTGACCTGCATGGTGATAAAGGATCAAAACTTATAGAGAGACTCGGCTTAGGAATTGATGGTTATGCGGACGAAAGGCTCATTATGCAAAGAGAAAGAGATGTAGGACATTTGGGAGGACTTAACTCTTTAAGGCCGTAGTTTTTCAAATAATTGAAGCGGATTTTGTAAGTCGGTTATCTAAAAAAATCGGTCAATGTAGACCATTATTTTAATCGCTCATCAAGGCTGAACGGTGTTTTTACGTGTGAAAGCAAACAATTTGCAAGCGTGTATCTATAATTTAAGTGATTATACCAAATACATGTATGTATGGTGATGTAAAAATAGTTGTAAATAGATGTTATCGGGTATTAAGAAATGTTTAGGTAAATTTATTTATGTAGTTCTGGATATATGTATATAATTTTTCTTGAAGAATGATAGCCCATGTGTTTCATATAATTATGTTGTTAATGAAAAGTTTATTTCAGTACAATGTTTCATTATATCTGGCTTATATTTTTTTATATAGGACTTATCAGTGATAATTTTTTTACCCTGAGTCTTCTTTATCAAACTAAAGGCTAGTTTTCAGGTATTTTCCATATATTTTCTTTTATTAACGTAGTTACAATATACATATGTAATGTAAGAGGTAAGGCTTCTCTAAATCATTATATCTTAAAATTGTTCGTTATGTTTATTGTTTAAAGTTTTTGAAACATTAGCTTAAACTTTCTGTTAAATAAATTCAGTTATCTTATTTGGTGTATGCTTGAAGATAAACTTCTATGGTATTGTTATTTATAATGAAATTGTTAAAAGAATAAGTAAAATTTTAAGTAACTTAAGTAAAAGGAGATTATTTGTTAACGTTGCAATTATTTTAAATTGTCATAAAGTTTTCTGTCAAACAATTTTGGAATCTCATGCTATCATTATTAGTATTAATTTCGTAAAAATATAATAATTCTATGAACATTACAATCAAAGATCCGATTTTTGTATCACAATAATATAATGTTCTTACCAATTAAATAATTGCATATGTCCGAAAAAATAATTAAACATACAAAAAATGAACCTTATCATACAAAAAGTGTGGTAGAAAATAGTTTGATTTTATTAAATTTTGTTACTACTTTCAAAGATAATCAAGAAATAGGATTAATTGAACTAAGAGAATTTATTGTATACAAAGGGTTTTACTAAAAATATAATATTTGATCCATACACATTACACTACTAAACAAACTTGTTTCTCCTTATCAATTTAAAACGGCATTAGAACCTGTTACGCCAGTAATTATTAATTAGGTAGTTATTACAAATGTAGGTTAGGTTATAAGTCGATTAATTACGAAATTAACTTCAACATTCTTCTAATATAACATTGAAATAATTCAATAAGAAATTTCGGTATATTTGGGCTTTATTATTGTTTCTTAGAGGACATTGCCCGCTTTGTAAAAGTACAAAATATTGACACAAAAATTACAAAGTAAAAAAGACAGTAAACCTGCTTTATATTTTACAAAAGTATTGTCTAATATCTTTAGTAGTGCGAAGGTCGTTTTGGACCATTTTTAATATGTTGCAAGTAATAAATGTAATTAATATTCAACTAGCGATAGTGGTCAAGGATTGTATTGGCTAACAACATATTGTATGAAACATTTTAAATCTTTGTTACTTATTGTTTTATTTGGAGTTAGGTTACTTTATTTTGAACCAGAATTAATAGTTCCTCTTCTTCTACCAATGAATACCCAAAGAGGATTGATGTCAGGCGGCCGGTCGTACAAACAATTAGCCAACATTATTCACAACATGTAAGGTAGACCCTGGCTAAATCTGGGAAATTGCCAGGTAGAAGAAGAATTAATAGTTACTCTCTTAATATTAATATAGATGACATCCGATCTTTTCGATTAGAAGATTTTGTAAATATTATAGTATTATACTATAAAGTCAGTGGTGGCCTAGTGGTTAAAAGGCCCGCCTCTCATGCATAAGGCCGCGGGTTCGATCCTGGCAAGTACCAATGTGATTTTTCCGAGTCATATGTACTTTCTAAGAGTATTTAGACATCACTGATTAATTTTTTCCCAAAGAGGGTTGATGTCAGGTAGGCGGTGTCGTAAAAACAATTAGCCAAAACTATTAACAACATATAAGGCAGACCCTGGCTAAATCTGGGAAATTGCCAGGTAGAAGATAGTATTATACTATATAATAATCTGTTCTAAAGAACGTATAATTTAGGCTATTTAGGACTATCAGAGCGTGTCGTATAACGCATTTCTTTTGTCACGAAACTTCTACCTTTTGATGACTGTTGAAATGGTAATTTACAAATACTCTAAAGTTAGAGGAAACAGATTAAGATACATTTGTAACTTACTTTAGCATTTAATTACTTGGTGCTAAGTTTGAGTATATTTATATGTACATATTAGTTCCGAAAGAAGGATACAGTAAATTGAAACTTATGATAGAAATGTATGTATTTTAATGCGCGAAATAAATCCGAAGCTAAATCTCACGTATATGTTGTTATAGAAATCACTATTATTTTCATATCATGAGATCCTAAGACTTTGATGAGATCTTAGAATTAATCTCATCTCGTCTCTCCGTGATCACGGTTGCTGTAAAGTAGCCGAAACGGCGGGAGTATGTAGTTTTAAATATAACTAAATAATGCTTAGTCATCCGAAAATATTAGTCTCATTTCACGGATTTAATATGTTTGTTTATAAATTATAATTAAATAAGTTGTGATGTTAACATAAATTGGTTTTTCCCGATAGAAGTACGTACGATTAAATATATTTTTATCTCTAAGCATCTCGTGACTCATGTATATCTAAGACGTGTAATGCGGGTGATTTTCAATATTTTCCTTTCTATAACATTAAATTTTCTACATCGGTTACTATTGTCAAACTAACTATAGTTTTCAGTTTGTCGTATTAACCTACGTTGATACTATTAAATACGAAAATTTATGATTGAGAAACTGATAACGTCTCCGTATTTATTTTAACGATACAAACTTTTATTAAATTTCGAATTTATGATCTTAATTTCCGCAGTATATTAAGAAAATGAAAATGAATCCATTGACGATTGTGACTACCATTCATCAGAGTCCGTCTGCTTGTTTGGCCGGTTTAATAAAACATGATTTTAAGGAATTTAATTTGTTTAGAAGCTGAATTTGTTTCTAATATGAATATATCCTATTTATGGACCTTCCAATAGTTCTGATTGAAAAGATTTTAACAATTTCACCTAACAACAAAATAACTCATCAAATAGGCCTGCAATGACATGTATCGTGCAAAAGTTGCATATTGTTATGATTGTCGGTTAAAAACTAGTGTACTAGGGCTGTCTTGTGGCTTGATTGTGGTCGTAAAATCACTTTGAGTCAAGGCCTTGTTCAAGAACATAACCACTGAAACATTCAAATAGTTAATATGTTTGATATATTAGGTCAGCATTTTAATCCTTATAATAATTATAACTGCTAAAGTTGTAAATAAACATTAAAATATGGTTGTGGTATTTCTAAAACAGCTTCGGTATTGTTTGAAAAAATATATATATTTTAAAATAAGAAATAATTTATGTTGGTGATTCAATAATTTAATTTTTTATTCATCACGCCATCTTGTGAAACATATAAACTCAATACGGTATTAATGTTTAGAATTTAGATATTCGGTTTTGACATAGATGGCGTTTATAAATATTTTTCTAATTCACTTGCAATATGGAATAGTTTGGGAGCAAGGTGAATATTTGGCTAATTATTTCTTCTGGAAAGATAATTAATTGGTGAGACACATGAGACAATATTATAAGAATATTACATTGTTACTTGCTGCCTAACTAGAACCTCAAATAACGTTTAGTGTCTTAGAAATATTCAATCTGTTGTGTGTATTATGGGTTACGAGGAGTTTCATTGAGCCTAAGATTAAAAAATAAAACTATAATATCAAATCACGTCGTATATTTCGTAAGAATTACAGTATCAAGACTCAAAACTTATAATAATGACAAAAAATATTCTACAAATTTTCCAAGAAAAATCGAATAATAATGTTACTATATCTAGAATATTTGGAATACAAAATAAAATACGTAGCGTTATTATCAAACACGACGACGAAATTTCCACTTGAATTCAGAAAATTACTATTAATTCATAACTGGGATTTATAAAAACGATAAATTAATTAAAGATTCAAAAAAAATATTTAAACCTCCAAGTAATTTATCATTTATCTAAGCATTATATTGTCTTAGAAAATAAACGAGCCAGAATAAAACAAATTCGTTAAATTAAGAGCATAAGACACTGACTCAATAACAATATAAATGCATATTAATAAAAAACGATTATTCTAAATAAAAAAAAAATACATAAAATTGTGACTCGTCCCTTAAAATTATGAATACAATTTGTCAAGGATTACAGAGCAGTTCTATTACATAATAAGGCACCTCAAGTTTTTGGTTTTTATTCTAACAGAATTTCTATTTTATATATAAAAGGTTAATAATTTGACGAGAGAAACTTAATTAAACGCCTTATGCTGGCCATGCATGCATATCTATTTACATGCAAGAATATCGAACATGCATGCAAGTAGTATTATATGTTGTAATTTCAGAAATGTATATCGGCCCATTATTTTTCAAGGCTTTTTTTATAAATTCATTTTCAGTATCCAAATAAGTGTAATAAATCGATAGTTTTATTAACATCACTATTTTTTATTTTTATCGATTTTTTAATGTGGAATGACAACACTAGGGTTTGCGAAGAAGATTTTGTTAGGAGGAATTTATTCCCATCGTTTATATCTTAAATCTTCATTCTTCCTTCTTCATATTGTGTTAGTTTCTTCTATTCAATGTTGATTAATCTTCTAAGAATCCTGATAGAAGTAAAATCACCGTACACATATCGTTCACCTTATTTGAATAACTTCAAAACTAATTTTACCGTAATATGGCATTATTATAAATATAATTAATTAAGGAGATCAAAATACATTTGATATGAGAGTTAAATCGAATGTCTTAAAACTAAACTCATATAAATTCGTCTCGTTTAATTTCTTTGATCTTCCAAATTCGCTCACATGATTGTCTCTTTGTCGACAACGTGGACCTGTAATGAAATAAAACATAAATTAAAACACCAGATATGTAAAATATTGAAAATATATGTGTTATTTTTTAATTCTATATAAAAAATTATAATACGAAATAATAAAGTAGTGAGAATAATAGAATTGTGTTGTATGATTGTATCTAATCTTAAAAATTAAGAGTTTTTTTTGGATCATCATATCGCGTCATAATTATCTACAAATGAAATAATATTTCGAGTTTATAATTTAACAATATGAAACAAATTTTAAATATTTTCATGTTTATGTACAACATTTTTTTTTATAAAACTATTATTTTCGGATAACTACGTAAACGTTTTTTACTATTTTAAACTACATACTCCCGATGTTTCGATTCCTTTGCAGCAACCGTGATCACGGGCAGACGAGATGAGAATGTCTGTCAGTTGATCTTATTATTTGCCATGTCAACGATTAATTACGAAATGTCGGAATTATGTAGTTTAATATAACAAAAAACGCGATAGTACATCTGAAAATATTACTTTCATTTAAATGAATACTCGCGAAAATCTTAGAAATCATTATAATACATTTCTTCTATATGTTAATCTTTTAAATTGAATTAAATAGTATCCTTCAGATAACCTTACAGGTTGCTGCCCCATCTATACATCATCACAACTATTAATAGACTGGTTCGTTGGCTAGGTCTAGGCAAAAACTAGACATAGGTTTTATCTACTTCTTCCGTTTGAGCTAGGATCATTACTAGCTATGGCAGCCAGTTTTCTTTGTAAGACAATAATGTGGTATGTTTATAAACGATAAAGTTATTCCATCCATCTTTATAGCATTGAAAAAGTTGTTTTATAATTACGATTTTATAATAATGATTTTATTAAATGAATACTAACTGTAGAATCTTTGGTGTTTATTTCGACTCACAATTTTATAGTATATAATTTATATGATAAGTTTGCTATAAAATAAATTAATTGCATTCGTTTGTTTGCAAAAGATTATGAATTCTTAATGAGTCATAACTATGAAAGCAATAAAGTTGTGTGTGTTGTGTGATTTTTAACAAATTGCAGGGTGCGGGGCTCGCCTTACAGGCACACCTATTTTCATTAGTTTTAATTATACTAAAAGCCTCTTTACTCGTGTTTACACATTGTCCTGCCCTTGGATTGTCCGAAAAAAATAAATCTAGTTATTAAAATATTTATATTCAAAATTTTTCCTCTGTCTTTTAATTAAATTGATAGTAAATTGCTTTAGAATTCATTGTATAATTATTATATATTACAGAATATAAAATTACAGTCTTAGTAAATGAAACAGGCGATTTAATTCCGATTAAAATAAATAGGGTTGCAAATAATATAATACACATACTATTTGGTTTGATAAACGTAATGAGACATATTATTTCGCAACTTGTATATTTTTTCTCCAATGTGATAACCCTACCTATCAATTAGAATGTCATTACTTATATTAGATTACATTTTCTTTCAACATAATCGTCGAAAGTACACGCCATAAAATAATTATAGCTTTGAAAAAATTGCATTAGCGTTATATAATTGTTTGTAGATTCCGACCGTGACCTTAAAAGTTAGTGCTTTTTATTATTTACCTAGAAATTTATGTCGTTGCATGATTATGAAGATGGTTTTATTGTAAATATCCTGGAAAAATTATGAACACGAACATGAGAAAGTAATTAAAATTGTTTGTGTTTTTTGGGATTTTTTTTTAATTTATAAAAAAACACTCCTAGTTCTGATTACATTTGACATTTAAATATTCGTTTTTTGAAATGATTTTCTATAAAGACTTTTTAAACAAATTACTTTTGATTACAAATAGAAAACGCTATTAGACTTTAAATGAGTAAAATATTGTTATTGAATGGTATTCAAAGTTTAGTTTAACAAAAGTTTTACTAATGTAATCATTATGTTATTTGTTAATGCATCAATAAAAGTTAAAAGAGTTCTTGCATCAGTTTTATCTCAAATCTAACATTTTCAACGTCCGCACATCGACATATCACGACGCAGAACAGGTTGCTTCATAGTAGACGATGAGATTTATATGTTATAAACGATTTATAGGTAATTTTGAATGAGTATTAGAGACTTATGAAGTACATACATTAAAATAGAAATAAGCAAACATATGTTTAATAATTTTTTTGTGAAAATTCCCATTTCTTTTGGCTTAATTTAGAGAATTATAAAATTATCAAAATAAGTACATATACAAGTTTTATAAAATTGTTAATATTTTGATCAGAACTATCTACGTGTTAGGGTATGGCAAAATTTTTGTGTAACTTCTGTAGAGAGTAAAAGCATTGTATTCATACAACGACATAATTGATTTTTTAATGTGTTCATATTTTTAAAAAATAATTAAGAAAATATTTAGCTGTTCGTAAAAAAGAAACTGTTTTGGCTTTTAAAATGAAATTAAATAAAGTTCAAGTTAGTAAAAAAATTCTTACCAAATATTAGAGATACAACGTTGGCACTCGTTTTTGCGCCCCCAAAGATAATTTATTTCCAATTTTCTTGTATGCGTCATTTTTTGTCCTTGATTTTGGTTTTTCAGCGGTCTCCACTGGACATCCTTTTAGCTCCCAAACTAAATTCGTCAGAGATTTGGGTCTGCTCAATCGCCTAGATCTTTTCTCAGGAAGTTTGGGACCATTGCCTGAATCCCCAGATGTTCTACCACCGGAATGACTCGAATCTAAAGTTCCATCTAATTCCATGGCTTGATGAATATTGGAGAGACTTTTATATCGTATGTTAAAGATCGGGGAATCCCCTTTTGTTAGAGGTCGTATCGGACTAGTTCCTGGACTAGGTACCTCTTTGGTCGGGGAGTGACTCTTTTGAGTCAACAATATCCGACTTTTGTTATTATTCAAATTGTTTTTTATATACAACTTAGGCAGATTAGGCACCGGTGCTATAGAACATTTCTCTTTGTAAACAATAATCGGCGTTTCTTTTGTCGTTGTGGTGCTTTTGCGTGTTCTTTTCTCTGCCTTTTGGTTGAATGTTTTCTTTGTGGGTATTGTTTCTATGGGTGGAGGTTCGGGTTTTATTTCTGTAATCAATGGCATATGGATGGGAGTAGCGGCTGGCGAAGCTGGTGCAGACTCGTGTCTTGTTGGCTCGTTACAATATGATGCTTTAATATTTTTGGGTAACGGTGCAAAGCCTCTTACGTAATCATATATTTGATCTATTTCATCATACTCATCGGGAATACTATTTTCATCTCTGTGGCTACTGTAAATGTGACTGTGTCGGTTTATGTATTTGTGTTGATTCGCTGTGTCTGATGATGCACTTCTTCGTAGGAAGTAACCCGTTTTTATTAAAGGTGGAGCGTTGAGGGGCGTATTTAGTAATCTTTTCGGATCCCCAAGCTTTCCATCTAAAACATGTATTCGATCTACAACGTCCACTAATAATCTATTGCATTTTTCAACTAATCTTGAGAATTCCATGAAATTTTTTATGTGCTCTTCGTTCTTACATTTCAACATTTTGAGGGGTGCAGCTAGTGGTAGAGCTATCAAAGCATTCCCTTCTTTTTGTAGGGGCAGTGCGAATACATGATCTTCCTCATATAAAGATAATAATCTCAATTCTGGTACGAAATAACTAGCACTTTTTAGTCCTCTCGGTGGAGTGCCATGCACTAGTCTAACAGTGATAGGCAATCGTTTAGTTAGTAATGTCTTCGCTGTATGCACTCCGCTTATATTCTCTTCTTTGGCAACAGCAGAAAACTTGCCTCTTTGATCCAAGCCCAAGAGAATGGTATCACCTTTAGAATCAGTGCATTTTAAATATTTACTTTTACCTAAAAATACCTCTCCTCTAGGCATTATTACTTCACCAGCAGGCAATGTCCGTGATCCGTCGGCAGTAATGTCACCATTCAAATCAGTTTTAGCGCATATTATTCTTATCGGCTCCCTTACTAAGCATCCATCTTCAAGTTTTCTCCTCGCTATTTCAGACACTGATTCCATACATCGCACCGCTCGTCCCTCTTCACTAAGAAGTTCGAAATAGCCTTTGTAAGTTTCAGGGATTGCTATTCTGGGTCCAACACTGACCATTCGTCTTCCTTCTTTTAATTTTATAGCCTGTGCGATTATCTTCTTCTTTTTTCCCGCTGATACAAGTAAAGCGGTGCTCTGTAATCCAGGACTAGGGAGAGTCGGTACTCCAAGGCCTCCATACTGTCCTTTTATGATTTTCGCGACATTAGGTAAACGGTTCTTAACAACAAACTCTTTGAGGTAGTGGCCTTCATCTGACCAACGGGATGCTGCGACCACAACTTGGCCGTCTGTGGCTGCCATGGTGAGTTTAGTCACATCTGAAATTGAAAAAAGTTTACCGTTATTATTATTATTAAAAAAAATCCTATTTATTTTCCTTCATTACGTATATATATGCCATTAAAATTTTAATAGCACTCCATTTCCTATCTAAAGACGTATAATAATTTTACCTTCACAAGTAAATTTTAGTCATAAATTATACTCAACGTGAAAAAAAAATCTAAGCGCTTATAATAATTCACAACTCCTCACAAACCTGTTACATTATAATCCGCGAAGCGTTACATAATTTACATCAATATTTAATTAAAAATTAACACTTTGCTAACTCGCAAACAACTCGAAGGTGTTAAGGATAACCAAATAACAGTTACTGTTATCTAAATCATAATCAAAAATGCTATGGAACAATTTCGTAACATTTCATAGACATTATAGCTGTAATTCTGTGGCTGAGGTGCGTGTGCATTAAGTCACGTCATTATAATCATATCGCGAATATAAATTGTTATTCTATATAAGTTTTTATTCCTATGAAATTTCGTGGTGGAATTATTCGCCAAATTGACACCGAATTTATTAATGAACATGAGATTCGGTTGGGTTTTTACTACTTACTGCTGTTTAATTTTATATTAATTATAGTAATACGGAATATATAATTTGTAAGTGGAGAAAATTATGTTGTTTTTCATATAATATAATAGTCAAGAGTCGTGGTGCAATGGAAATGTTATGTTAAATCTCAATTTGGCGGCTGGGCACCGCAAACATTGATATCACTGATAAAAGTACAGTTAGCATGAATCACTATTATGTGTACGTGTTTATTTTATGCAGTAACGGATTTTGCTATTTTATTGCTTTTTTTGCTGACCACGCTTTATAGAATTATAATCAGCTCATAATGCACCTATAATTTAAGTTGTGGAGAATCTCGCAGAAATTAGGAAAATAGTAGAATTCGATTTGAATTTTATTTATAATATATTTTTTGTTTATTCCATTCAAATAACTCACAACTGTGACGGAACTAATTAAAATTAAAATTTAAAATATTATAGACAAATTATGTAATAAAATAATAAAATATTTAAAAAGATTATTTTATTAACAATATGAACAGTATTCATATTATAGTTTTTTTAATCATATACGTTTAAATGAAGATATAATTTCGAATTTCAATAAGCAAGTTTATAGATGTACAAAATTATTAATGGGTAGTTAATAATGATATTTCAAAAGGTTGATTTGGAAACAAGGATATTATTTATGTTAATTTTAATCAATGAAAGTGTTCCTTGTATAATTCATTTAATATCACCCAAAGTGTCAGACGCTGGCTTTTAAACAAACATGACCATAAACTACTGTCGTACATTGACCTTTTAAACTTCATAGGAATCGGATGAAATATGTCAGTAGGATTAAATACATTACATAGAGATTAATTATTTATGGTATTCTAAAGTAAAATATTGTCAATCTTCTACCTGGCAATTTCCCAGCTTTAGCCAGGGTTCGCCTTACATGTTGTGAATAGTTTTGACTAATTGTTTTTATGACTTGCCCGCCTGCCTGACATCAACCCTCTTTGGGAATGAATTAATCAGTGATGTCTAAATACTCTCAGAAAGTACATATGAATCGGAAAAATTACATTGGTACTTGCCAGGATCGAACCCGCGCGCTCAGGCGCAAGAGGCGGTTCTTTTAACCACTAGGCCACTACTGACTTGTCAATATACAACAATATCTACATATATATCATTAATAATTTTAAGTCGTCACAGATATTAATAATAATATTTTAACACGACGTCTTGAATAATGAATCTTCTACGTCTATCTGAATTAGTTGACATTTTTAAATATCAAACATTGAACTGACGAAACGAGGTGTTAAGTATGAAATTAGACAATAGTGTGGCCAAAAATATAAGCATCAAGCGTTCATCATGACGGAGAATCACGAATAAACCTATTGTTATTAATGTAAATACAAAGTAACTGTATTAAAAATGCTTGAGACGAATAAGAAGTTCCATTAAAATTTATATTAAGTACTTCTACTTAGTCCTTTATTGATCCACAACTCGTAACGGAATCCCCAATTATAATATTCAAAGATTACATATTTAGGTGACGGTAAGTTATAATATGGTACAGAGAGCGCTAGTTTCCCTCAATAGAATTTGCATTAAATAAAAAAACACTGAATATTACTAAAAACATACCAAAGCTCTTATTATAATTTGTAAAACCAATTGTTAAGGATTTCGACGTTTAAATTACTGTACTGAAATATTATTAACATTAGTTTAGACTATTATAACAAATATATAGATGGCGCTAGTTGACTATCATAAGAATTCCCAATAAATTAGTATATAAATAATATTATGTAAGCTTAGAATTTTAATATTAAGTGCATCACAATTTAAATCATTATGAATAATTATTACTAACAATATATTAATTGATATTAAAAATAAAGTATCTTTCTTTAACATTTAGATGTGGAAATTATTTTTGTTTTATCAGTGTAAAGTATTTACCGCTTTCATTCTATGAGTGACGTTTATTGAAGTTCTCACGGGATCGTTCGATTTATTGCTTCCAGATTTGTCTTCAGACCTATCCTGGTGTTGTAACATGTATTTATGAGAGCCCGGTTCATGTCTGAACCATAATATTAAGTTGGTTTTTATTATAAGCCTTGCCAGCTAGATTGAAGATAAGTGTTAAAAATGTCTTGAGAATCTGTAGGGTTTTAAATGAATTTTGCAGAACCCAAATTAATTACTGATCATGATTTTATTTGAAAGAATTTTAAGGCAAAATTTTTGTAGACTTTAATACGTAAGAAAATATTTTGAATGCCGATTTTTTGACATGAAAAGTACCTGACACTATTTTTGCAAACTGACCTATAAAAATACCAACTATAATTTTTATTCTAGACTTTCATATTGTTCATTACACGTATAGTTAGTTGTATATGTTATAAAGAGTTGTTATAGAATTAAAACACCCGTTGAAATTGTATAGAGGTCAACATTTTAACAGTGGATCCATTTTAGACTAACAATTACCAAAATATAGAACAGTTAATTGTCAAATCGTCATGGTCTTAATGAGTGTCATTTGTCCGGCTAGCGGTTTTATTTATATTACAAATTGAATGCCGTGAGAATAAATAACACGTACGATTTATTTTTATTAATACGTTTTACGGAACATTTATCTTAAAGACAACTTTCATATATAATTTGTACGGTATATAATAATATAGTCGAAAGAATTCTGGTTTTAAATGAATTGGCGTATAATAACTTGATTCGAGTCGTATTTTAAATTTTAATAGTTTATTTTATTTTTTTATTAATTGATTTGTGTTTATATTTGTCATAGTAAATATTTTTTCTTTATAAATGATAAAGGCTACAAGTAGAAGGTTTAGAAGTAAAATTAATTTAAATTAAATACCTTTATAGAAGAATAAAAGTAATATTATTGATTGATTCGCTATTATTTTGCAATAATCATTAATCTTGAAGTATCGGCATAGCTTTGACATTTTATATACACACACATATACACACGCACACACATGTGTATATATATATATTATATACTTATATGACGAACACAGTTCTTTAATATTTGATGTTAATATATTCCCAGTGAGTTGAAACATCACTTTATTACAAGCAGGTTTAACCGTTACCATTTGGGTTATAAAGCCACCGGTTGTAATACGTAATATATCTTTATAAAAGCTCATTACATCTATTTATTACAAATATGCTTATTAATTTTGTTTAATTATTCTAATTATATGAAATTGTAACGGTAATTTGACTGCACAGAATTAAATAATGTTAAAAATCGTGTTTGTATTATAAAAAGAATATGTTTCTTTGCATATTATTTCAATAATTTAAACCTTTCGGTAATTTTAACCCGATATCAATTACCTGACAGTAATTTATATTCGGAATTACACGCTTGGTATCACTATAGTCCAAGCATTGTTTGGTTATGCTTGGTTATAAGACCATCTATAATGTAATAACAAGACGGAAGTAAATTATCGGGTTTATATGCGGCGATATGCGGACAGGTATAACCGTTATATGACGCTTACTTCACTTCACTTCACTTCACTTGAAATACACCAGTGAAGTATTATCTAATAAATTTTACATTTGTCACAGTTTATATATGACTTCCATATATTTTTCATAAAAATGTTTAAATTGAATTTTTTCATTTAAATGAAACTTATATTTTTTATATACTACGCGTGCTTTATTTTTGTTAAAAAATACATACTTTCGATGTTTCGGCTACTTTTCAGCAACCGTGATCACGGGCAGACAAGATGTTTTCTTGTTAAAAAGTATAAATATAAAGCTAAGATGCTTTTTTGCTAATTAACATACATCAGTATTAGATTAAGACGAATCAGTTTAATAATACCTTTGTTAGCACAAATTATTAGTACATTTGGATGGACTAACTCATAATTCTTGCAGCGCTAATTGATTGGCAATTCGTACGGCGCGTTATGATAGCGCATTCTGAGAATATCTTTTAGATAATATGCTGTTGTATGAATAAATATGTATTGAAATAAACTATATATGTATGTTAAATATAAAATTTTATATATTTAACAACATATTTTATAAGTCACAAGTACACAAAGTTAATATCAGTCACTTAGTGATTTTTTAGTTGATTCCATAATACTGTTTTACTAATATGTTTGGTACAGCCATAGCGACATCCACATACAATTTTATAAAAATTAGTTCAAGAGTTTTTTCGTAATAGTAACAAACACACAAAAAAGTCAATGGTGGCCTAGTGGTTAAAAGGCCCGCCTATCATGTATGACGGCGCAGGTTCGATCCTAGCAAGTGCCGATGTGATTTTTCCGAGTCATATGTACTTTCTAAGAGTATTAAGACATCACTGATTAATGCATTCCCAAAGAGGGTTGATGT